CATCTAAAATCAGAAATGTAGCCGTGGTTCCAGGAAGAAACCCAAACCTATAAGCACACTAGGTATCACTTTTTCTTTATTCGATCTCTGCATTTCTATGGCAGCAGCGGTGGTGGTGGTGGTGGTGGTGGTGGTGGTGGTGGTAGGAGTAGTAGTAGTAAAATGGCTTTCTTTGCTTTTCCAGACACATGACATAAGATGACCTCCCAGTAATTTCTAGGTAGTTTCACTTTTTCTTAATGGCAGCCACAGCTCAGAATTAATCCAGGTATCTGTCCCTTTCCAAATTCTGGGAGAAAGAATCTGGTTCAAGTAATTTTGAATCAGGTAATCTTTCTAGTCCAGCCAGTTCTGACTAGGTTATGCAGCATATACGTGGCTTCTGTACCACTTGTGGAGAAGGGGTAAGTTGCCAGAAAAAAGAGATTATAGTGAGCTAGGTATAATTGCCCAAGGTTTATCAGGATTACCTGGTGAAAATATGACTCAGTCTGGGGGTATGGAAGCAATGTCAGATTTTGGATTTAGGAGGAGATTATATTTCAGTGTTAAGATTCTGTGTCTGGAGAAATGAACATTTAGAAGTTTTTACAGTGGCTGAAATTCTATGGTTAATATTCTGTTTATTTGTTTTAAGGCCATGGTTCCTAAATTTGCCTTAGCACTGGTTCTCAAGCCTCGGGTACATATAAGAAACACTTAGAGAAAAGTTTTTCCCTTTCTATTTCTTTTCTTTCTTTTTTAAAAAAAAAAAAAATGAACAGACACTGCACTATCCCAGGAAGACTGATTTCATTGGTCTAGGGTGGGTCCTTGGTACCATTATATTTTAAAATTCCTCATCTGCTTGTAATATGAAGCCATTGTTGAGAACCTGGAGCATTACATCACTGGATGCTTGTTATAAGTGTAGAATTTCACACCCTACCCCAGGCCTACTGAATCAGAACCTGCATTTTAATAAGATTCCCAGGCAGCTTGTATGCACAATAAAGTTGGTGAAGCACTCTCTAGACCTATTGAATATTGGGCAGTGGACCCAGGGGTTCACTACGTCTGTAGTTTTCAAAAGTGTGATCCCAGGACCATGGGCATCACCTGGAAATTTGTTACAAATGCAGATTCTTGAGCACCAGCCTGTAGCTTCCGAATAGGACACTGAGGGTGGGGCCCAGCAGTTTGTGGTTGAACAAGCCCTCCTGGTGATTCTGATGCAGGGGTTGGAATTTGGGACCATTGGATTGAAGGAATTTTTTCCTCAGGCCCTTTGTTAAATACTCTTTAAGTGAAGTGGCATTGATGCAACTTGTAAATAATTTGGCAAGCGAAAAAAGAAAAAAAACCCTGTATATATGTATGTGTAGAGAGGAGAAAACAAGTATGACAAAAGGTAAAATTGTTATTCCTCATATCATTTGTAAAAATGATACGACTTAGATTCCAAAAGAGTAGGTAACTAATCCAAGGTAATCAGCCAGCAAGCATGGGGTAAAACAGAACTTGGGCTTCCTTGCCCTTTGCGTATCACTACGAGCTGGAGTTTGATGCCCTTTTTCTTGTTATCTTGCCTGGTTCATCATCCCAGGCATGAAGGAATGTGGCAGTGCTGTGTTCCACAGAGCCAGGAGCATATGTGTCATTGCCTCATTATTATGAGTCACACCCATCTTTCTTTGCTCCCTCCTGCCCCTCTGCCGCTTCCCCTACAGCCTCCACTGTCATTCTTTTTGTTAGGCTTTGGGGGTCTGGGCATGTTTGTATCTTTTGCTTTGGCTTCTAATTGGAACCAAGTGTTCTGTGGTTTTAGATGGGCATATTCAGGAATATGCTTGATTTGAATAGCCCAGATTTATTATTTGAGTTTTGAGACTCCTTTTAATTAGACAGAGTTGCAGATTTGCCCTGTTGATGGCCTGAGATTTAGAATTGCTTCTAAAACAATGGAAACTATTAATTAAATATTTCACATTTTTTATTCTCTACATCATTCCACAAAATAGTTGTGGTGATTAAAAATTGCTGTTACATAAATTGTCTTTCCTCCTATAGCATTCCTTAAAAGTTTTGATCCAAATTAGATTAGGATGAATTCTTTAGGTTGTTGACTTTTTCCTTTTCTTTTCTTGATAGTAGTAATTTATTCCTACCTGATGATTAAAGCTTCATATGTAAGAATTGTTTTGCTTTAGATCATTTATCTCTTGGAGCTCTGCCTTTAATTTCTTTTGCTTTTAATTGAACTCAGTGATGTCATTTTTAGATAATGTATAAAAGAGCATCAGGAGACAGAGCCAAAATGGTCTTACTTTTATATAAACTAAATTGCCTTTGTGGCCCAGTATAAAATCTAAGCACTAAGAGCAGTTACTTATTTTGACAGCAGAATTAATTGAGCCTAAAAGAGTTGAAATTCCAGTTGTAGCAAACTATTCTTTGTGACTCTTACTCTGGCTTTGTTATTGTCAAGAAGACTAACTTGTCTTATGACTAAATATCAGAATCATGGGCAGTGGACAGTATTTGAGGGAGATGCTGAATAGACTTTCTACTTGTTAAACAGTTCAGAAGTGACATGCTGCGGGGGTTATCAGAATGTGCATTGATATCCAGCTGAGCTGTCAACTGGCACTGAGCCAGGCACGCAAAGCTTTGTCATGTGGAGCATATGCCATTTGAAAGAAAATCTTTTTTCATGCATGATGTAATGTATTTTTTTAAGAGGGTATATTTAGTTTTATTATACCACAAACTGTTAGTATTCCAGTCTTTTATAGAAAAGCTTATGTATGGGCGGATGGTACTCATTTAAAAATTTTAAATATAGATACACTTTGAAAGGATTTGGCATCTTATACCTTAAAATGTCATTTTGAATAGCTTATTTTTATTGGACATTTTCCTATTTCAAATGGATTTTAAGGGGATATGTAGAAAAGATAGAATCCATTAAGATTATGTCTGGTATAGGAGGAAGGTTTTGTTGGGGAGAAAACAGAATTTTATTTAAAGGAATTAATTTTGTAGTGTTAAGGGATGCCTATACTATTTTGAAATGTATGAAGGTATCTGAAAATCTTCAAAGAATATATACTATACTTGCTAAGGTAATGTCAAAGTGTTTCTAGATGTATTTTTACATCTGTCCAGAAAGTATCCAGCCATATACTATGAAAAAGAGACATTTATTGAGGAGGATACAAGATATAAGAAACATTGTACAAAGGACAGTGACACCTCAGTCCTCTTCAAAGTGGGCACCTTGGGACCTCACACAGTTCTCCCAGTCGCCATCAGCTGTCCCATCGTATTTTCCTGAATCTCATCAGTGGTCTGAAATCTCTTCCTTTCCAAGAGTGATTTTAGTTTTGGGAAAAGCCAGAAGTCTCAGGGTACCAAATCTGGGCTCTAGAGGGGGTGAATCACCTGGGTGATTTGATGGTTCACCAAAAAACTCTGCACAACACGTGATGCATGAGCAGGCATGTTGTCCTGATGAAGCTGCCAATCACTGTAGTTGCCCATAGCTGTGGCTGTTTTGGTTGGATTGCATCTCTCAACCAACGAAGAGCATTGAGATAGTACTCCTTATTTATTGTTTGGCCTGGAGGGGTGTACTCATGATAGACAACACCTTCCCAGTCAAAAAACATACTTGCATGATTTTGATCTTCCTGTGATCTTGCCGTGCCTTCTTTGGGCCTGGAGAACTAGGTGACTTCCACTGGGATGACTGGGCATTTGTTTCCAGATCATAGCTGTAGACCCATGATTCATCTCCAGTTATGACCTTCTTGAGGAAATCTGGTTCGTTGCTAGTGGCTTGAATCAAGTTATTAGCAACTGCAGCACGATGTTCCTTGTGCTCTGGTAGCAGAAGCTGCAGAACAGATTTTGCCCCAACACGTTTCATGCCATGATCCTGCATCAAAATCTTGGATACAGTAGTTTTTGGAATCCCCAGATCAGCTTCTAGTTCTCGCACTGTCAGTTGCCAATCTTTGTTGATTGCAGTCTGTAGGTGTTCAACATTCTCAGGTATTCTGCTTGTTGCAGGCCTCCCAGAATGTGGATCACTTTCAACAGATTCTCGACTATCTTTGAAGCATTTGTGCCACACATTTATTTGCACCACGCTCATTGCATCATCCCAGAAAGCCTTCTGAATCATCTGAATAGTTTCTGTCGAGGAATATTCAAGCTTAATGCAAAATTTGATGTAGATTTGTTGCTCTACTCACTCATTCATTTTGAATGTGATGGCCTTATAGTATACATGCCCACCCAACAGCGTCTACCACCTCCACTGACTAGGACAGGAAGCCATCGTTCACTCATGCACATTCCAGCCCACTCTTCTTGGCTGCCAGGTTATGTCGATATTGCACAAACCATTCTCATAATTGTAACAATGGCTGGACTTCTTCTGGACAGACATATATAAAGGGCTTTCAGTAAATTGTGATCATAATAATTGACTAGTCTCCTTTTTTTCACTGTCAGGATAATTTGATTTTTAAATTTATTACTGATATTTTAATTGACACTATCACCTAATACTGGAACACATTTGAGATATTTCAAAAGAAACAGCTGACCCTCGAACAGTGTGGAGGTTGAGGGTGTTGACCCTTGCATGGTTGAAGAGCTGTATATAACTATTTCCCCGAAACTTAAGTTGTCTCTCAGTATCCTTGGGGGGGATTCGTTCCCGGACCCCCAAGGATACCAAAATGTGTGGATGCTCAAGTCCCCTATATAAAGTGGTGTAGATCAGTGCATACAGTTGGCCCTCAGCATCTGCAAACTCTGAAGTGTGGATCAAAAACAGTACACATATTTAATTGAAAAAAAAAATCCATGTATTAGTGGACCTGCACAATTCAAACCTATGTTGTTTAAGGGTCAACTTTATTATAATGGAGTTTGATTTGATTGTTTTCTACCAGCTTTTACTTTTAGACTAGTAGTTGTTCATATGCATACATATATATATTTTTTAGGCCTTATTGAATTTGAAGAATGTGACCCTGCTAGTGCAGTTGAAGGTAAGTTGACCAGTTATAATGTGTGGCAACTAGCTAATATGTTCTGTTGATTGAATAAATAAAGAGGGCTGCTATCTTTTGGTGTCAGAATGTATATGAAATGATGAAAAAAAACCTGAATATGGTTTGAAGGCCTGTAGATTTTCATCTTAATAAACGTTAGGTTAGTCAAAAGAATTATTAGTGGTTAGAATATATATTTTAAAAGATTAAATATAAATGTATTTGTTTTCAAATATACATTGAGATTGTTTTCTCCATTGACACCCATTTTTAAACATTCTAATTTCATAAATATGATTTTCATCACTGCACATTAATGCATAATGCTTGTTCTATAGTAGATAATGTTTCAGTAATTAACGAGGTTATGCATTAATGTTAATATTACCATCATTCAGATGGGTGATGCTTTGACTTGAGAAAGGGTCCACACACTATTTAAATTGATGTTTTTCTTAGTATGAAACCCAAGAGATGCCTGCTATTTTCATATATTATATATCTTACTTTGTGAGCAACTAGATACAATTTGAAAGCAAACCTCTAATTTTTCTGAGACCTGTGTAAAAATTTAGAGAAGTGGTTTACTATTGTGTGTAAGGTTATTAGCGGAGTAGTCAGGAGTTCTGGAGCCTACATTTCTTTCAGTTACTAGCTCTTTGAGATCAATAATGATTTAAATTCTCTACTTCAGCTTTCTTTATTAAGACGTAGGTAGTAAATAAAACTCTGAGAATAAAAGTATTTGATATTTAAAATATTATAATGTGCTGCACAAATGTATGATTTATGGAGTTTGTTTTGCTTTAAAGCAAGTACATTATTCTAAGACACCTGAATTATAATCCTGGCTTATGGCATTTACTAGCTATATAACACTGATTTAAAAAAAACAAAAACAAAAATGCCCTTCAGTTTCTTCATCTGTAAGATGAGAAATTAGCTTAAGTGTGCTCTAGTTCTCAAAGAATAAGCAGGTAAGCTTTAAGTGCTGAATTCCATCAACAGTTTAATAGCATGACTGACCTTTAGACCTTAATTTGTCATGCAAGAAGAGGAGGAAGAACTGCCATATTAGGCAAAACAAAAAGTGTATTTGTTCATTTATGGTAAGATCCACTTATAACATTGTTTGTATTAGAGATAATATGAATGCCATTTGTAAGTTTTCCATGTTATTACTATTAGTGGATATGTTGTGTCATCTTTTTATTTAAAACAACATATTTATATTTTATGACCCTCCAAGCAGGAAATATGATTTGATTTGTATTTATAATAAAATCTAATATAGTGAATAGTGTACTTTCTTGGAAGTTTTAAAATATCTGCAAATGCTTGTTTTGCCTGATGTGACTTGGGGAATACTTAGAAAGGAAAAGAGAATTTCATCTATTGAGTGAATGTTCTAAAACCTGTTGGTGAATAATAGACTGTGTTATATTAATGTAAGTCTAAACAGAATATAACTCTGATTTAAGTATTAGGGTTTAGCAATAAATACATTTATTTCTGTCATCCAAATTTAGTATCAACAGTTATGAGTAAATTGTGTGTCAAGATAAAAGATGTATTCATAAATTTAATATATTTATCAGGCATAGTTGTGTTTCTGTAACAATACACATTTTTAAATACACATTTATTTTAAGGTATAAAACCAAGGAAAAGAAAGACTTTTGGTTTGCCAGGAATAATTAAAAAGGAAAAGGATGCAGAGTCTGTGTAAGTATATTAAATATTGTCAAAATCCTTTCTGTTGTTATAAATAAATATTTTTGAATTTGTAAAAGGAAAATTTCTTTTGGAAATAATTTGAATTATATATGTCCAAGGGGTGAAAAAATACAAACTTTTCCAAATATATTTGCCAGCTTCTTTGGTTTTACTTGAAAGTAAGTATTCACTTATTTTAAAATTTTAAGATGGAAGTTTTAGTGTTTTAAAATTGAAACTTTAAGTTCCTCTTTATAAAATTATATGCATATTTTAAAATATTAAAAATGCAGGGAACACTAAAAATTCTTCTAGGTCTCGATGCGTAAGAAAAACTCATAGTCAACAATTTGATGAAAATCCTTCTAGACAACTCTTGAACACACAGGGACATAGTGTTGATGTATACAGATGCTACTCGGCTTAACAGCAGGGTTACATCCTGATAAACCTGTCACAACGGAAAATATAGTAAGTCGAAAATGCGTTTAATACGCCTACCAAATGTCATAGCTTAGCCTTAAATGCGCTCAGAACACAATATCCAAAAACACTTGCAACACAGTATAGATGGTCCCTGACTTAATGATGATTCAACTTACAAATTTTCAGATTTACAATGGTGTGAAGGTGGTACGCATTCAGTAGAAATTGTACTTTGAACTTTTGTCCCTTTGCCAGCTAGAGATGTGCAGTATAATACTCTCTTGTGATGTTAGGCTGTGGCAGCCCAGCTGTAGCTCCCAGGTACCCCTTCGATCAAGGGGCTAAATAACTGATACTTGATAGTGTACTATATGGCCAGCGTTTTTTAGATATTCCGTTTTGTGTTTTTGCGTCCTATCATGTCTACAAAATGCCCATCTGTGTCTCCTGCTTCTGGTGAGAAGAGGAAGGCAAATACTCTTGAGATTTTTTATTATCTCAAGATAATAAAATTGAGATATAATAAAATCTTATTGAGATTTAAATTATCTCAAGATAATTTCCCAACTGAAATCTAATGTAAGTGTTCTGAGCACATTTAAAGTGTTAAGTAAGGCTAGGTTAAGTAAGCTGTGGTGTTCAGTAGGCTATTGTATTAAGTGCATTTTTATCTTACAATATTTTCAATTTAGAATGGGCTTATTGGGATACAACCCCATCATGAATCAAGGATCATCTGTACACTGTAGGGTATCAGTTGAAGAATATCAAGTCAGACTATCTTTATGCATAATGGAAAATGTTAAATGTGGGAGAGGGCAAAAAAGCTAACATGTTTGAACATTTATACTAGCCATCATTTTTAGATGGAAGATGGAGTATAAATTTGATTTATCTTTTTTAAAAATAAGAAATTAGTATGCAAAGAATCTATAATTCAGCATGTAAGAATTTCAGCTAGTATTAGTTGAGGTTTTCTATCTTGAATACACATTAGACTACCTGGGAAATTAAATATATCTATGCCAGGCCCCATCTCAGACTAATTAACCCAGATTCTCAGCCAAGAGGCCCCAGCATAGTTTCTGTCTTGTTTTGTTTTAAGCAGCCTGTGTGATTATAAGATACACCTGGGGTTGAGAATCACTGAGCTGTGATTAACCAGTGACAAACTGGAATTAAAGAATTTTTTCTTTCCATAATTACTAAACCCATTTGGATTGAAGAGACACTAATTAAATGTCTTAAGTGATTTGTTGATCTGGTAACATTGACTGAAAATTTGTTTAAAATCCTTACTTCTCTAGCATAATCAGAACTCTCATGAGATTTAATATTTTGATGGGTACCCAGGGCACAGTTTGTGTTTTGGGTGTTTTTGCCTACTGCCTAGTTATATTCTTATCATCTGAATTTCTCAGAATTTCTACCATTCTAAATGTTTGTTTCTTCCCCTCTCCTAAGTGGTTAACAAATAAAGACCAATTGCAAAGTGATTTATATCTCTAGTTACCATCTCCTCTGCAAATGTCTTTTTTTGAGCATTCATGAAGTATTTTGCTAAGGGGATGGAACCTACTCTTTTTATAACATTGGAAATACATTTTGAAATCTAAACATTTGATTTGTAAGTAAATGTTTAATGTACCAGTTCATCTGTTAGTGATATATTATAAAAAGAAATGGCTGTAAATATTTTTATAATATATATTTTTCATAGCAGTTCATCCAGGGAGCTTATAATATTTTTGTGTATCTGTATTTTTAAATAATTTTTCGTGATGAATAATTCCCCGATATGATCATTAGACCATTTGGATATTGGAATACTTTTCCCAGTGAGAATGCTAGGGCAGAAAATTATTCTTAAACCATTGCACCATGATTTCCTTCTTTCAGCATTTTCTGGCAGAAAAAAAGAATGTTAGAATTTACTTTCTTTAAAATGCCTAAGGCTTTTGGCAAACTTATTTTCATAGCCTGAAGGCTTTTGAAATGCTAGCAACTGTGGAAGAGGGGTCCTGTTTAGAATATGCTCTTTCTGGGGCTTTATCTGCAGGTCTCATAGATCCCACTCTGAAGGCAGTATAACACAAAGGCTAATGAGTTCTGGCTTAAAGCCAGACAATAAACTGGAACTTTTACCCTTGCTTTTATTTTTAAACTATCTTTTCAAACAGGTGGAAAGTAGAAATGTTCTAAAATCTTAATTGCTTTGATTCTGTAGAGGAATTGAATTTACTATTACAGTGCCTTTTCTGGTAGAACTCTTTCTCAAGAGTACTGTATTTTGCTGCTTGTAATGCGCTCCCAGGTGTAACACGCACCCATTTTGTTTGTATTATACATGGGATTATTATGCCCTTGGTATGCAATCTTCATACCCACGTATAGTGAGCATCCTTAATTTGGCTCTTAAGGTGAATAGAAAGCCTGTATTTTTAGTCTGTTAAAGTGCCACATTTTGATATTAGGTGCATTATCTGTCTCAAGCCAAGGAATATGTAACGAATCCAGATGCATTTTAAACATTCACTCTAATTTTTGTTTTAGAATGTATGCATAGAAATTATTCTAACCTTATACCTCATGGCTTCAGTGTCTTTAATTTTATATTTTTAGGTCTTTATTTGGTCTAAAATTTGTTTTAGAATGTGTGCATAGAAATTATTCTAACCTTATTCCTCAAGGCTTCAGTGTCTTTAATTTTATATTTTTAGGTCTTTATTTGGTTGAGAAGGTTGGTTTTTATGTTTTAGTTTTACATTTAAAGTAAGCTTTTGTTAATTTACAGTATATCCAATCATATTTATCAGTTCAATGATAAAATACCAGTTCTGAACTACATATTACATTAGACTAGAAAACTATTCCATATGGAAGTCTAATTACTCATTTAACACATTTGGAGAAGAGTGGTTCTCATTTTGCCCTCATCGGTGTGGCTCAGTTGGGAGACCTCCTGCAAAGCACAAAAGGTTACCAGTTCAATTCCTGTCAGGGTACATGCCTGGTTTGGAGGTTTGGTCCCCATTTGGGGGGCATCAGTGTTTCTTTCCCTCTCTTTCTCCCTCCCTACCCTTCTCTCTAAAAGTAAATAAATTAAAATCTTTTTTTAAAAAAGGTGGTTTTGGTTTTTATATAGACTAGCTTATAGAAAGTACTATACTTTAAACTTCAGTTTTGAAAGTGTAGACTTTAAAAAGTTTTGAAAATTTATTTATAAATGTTATTTACCAAAAAATACAAATACAGATTTTTTTTTTAAAGCCAGGCTTTCTTCTTGGAAGGAAACTTTTTTTTTTTTTTTACACTTTCTCTCCCCCTGAGGAATTAAAAATTAAAGGTCACTAGAAATCCTTGTAGGACTGACAGCTTCCTTGATAAGATTCATGAGTGTGTGTATTCATGGGAAACCAGTACTTTTGAAAGTAGTTTTAAAAATACTTGTACTTTATTTTGTCATCTACTGTGGATACAGAAATGCTTTCTTTTGAATTTTAAAAATGTTTGGTATATTTTAATCTTCATGAGATGATTTCTCTAAGTATTTTTATAGAGTTTAAATAAAAGTTATACTTACATACCAAGGTGAATACTTCCAATAAAGTATTATTATCAGATAGTTCTAATAGTTGACTATTTCTAATACTTTGTTTGTTTTAATAGGGAATGCCCTGATGCAGATTCACTTGTAAGTAGATTTTACTTTGATATAAATAATTTAAATTAGGCACTTTCATTAGGAAATACCCAACATGTTTGGGTTGCATTGTTTACATATCTTTCCAAGAAAAATATTAATCATATTGGTGTAAATTCATTATTAAAATTATATTACAGCTGCATTTCTGGCTTTATATTGCCAGATGCTTTCCTATTAAATATAAGGTGTTTCTAACTACCTTTGCCTAGTGGACACTTCACTTTTAAAATTGGAGTGGTGCCACAGCATATTGCTTTTTCTTGGGAAATATGCCAGATCTCAGATCTGCATACTTTTTTTTTAAAATGTGGTGCTCTTACTAATTTAGTCTTAGATCTATTAAAAATAGTACTTTATCTGTTCATGTACTTAAGTTTTATTTAAGAGATTGGCATTTTAGAAAAAATGGTTAGTATTTTCCTGTGCTTTTTATTTTGTTTTAAAGAAAATTTGTTTTTATTCCTTAAATATATTTCTTTATATATAATTAAAGAAGATATCAAATGGAGCTCTGTGGTTACAACAGAAGAGTCGATTTACCAAATGGTATAAGTAGCATGTAGATAGATAGCTCCTCAAACACTGGTCATGTTGATAAGTGTAGTAGTCAAGCTCTTCATCTCCTCTGCTTATTGTTTTTGCTTGCATAACTATTGTTTCTTTTGGCCCCAAAAGAGTTTCATCTTTTACTGGATAATGGTATACCAAAATAAAGAACTAGTTATTTTGTGAAACATTGTGTTTTGTATTAAGATAAAATTAAGTACTTCGTTTTATATTTCAGCTTAAAATAAGAAAACTAAGGTTTGTTAATAAATTTATAATGAAAATAATGAAATAGACTCCTAGTGAGCTCTAGGAATCACCAGAGTGTTTTTGGAGTTAAAACAGTTACCTTACCAGTTGCTGCTTTGATACCCTTGGTTTATTAATTAAAAGCCAACAGATGTGTTCTTTTAGTACTCATGCATTTTACTTCTGAATTAACTATGTATAACATTTGCTTGATGATTGCAACTTTGCATAAATTCCTTTAGTACTTCATGTTTTATTTTATATATACTCCCTAAATAAAACATTTCTAATTCTCTCAGCTCATTTGATACTATTCTTTAATGATCAGTATGAACCAATTTTGAACTTTAGTTGTACATATCTGGAATTAGGAAACAGGCTTTTAAACAGGGCACAAAATTCTTATGCCATATGAGAAATGATTGATAAATTTGTGTTGAAATAATAAAAAACATAAAATTATAAAAAATATCCCATAGAATATTTGAATAACTGAAGATAAATGGGCAGAGAGTATTTACAAGACATGTAATAAGGGGCTAATTACTTTCTATTGTAAAGTTTTTATACAAATCAGTATAAAAGGAAAGCAAAGGCCCAGTTAGGAAAAGAGCATTAGATAAAAACAGGCAATTTTCATTAAGAGAAATAAAAATGGTGACTAAACCTAAGAAATGGTCAAAATAGTAATCTCATTCTGATGTAAATTAGAATGAAAATACTGTGTTCTGAAAGTAGAAATATTCTTTTACCTAATGACAAGGCACGCTTTGAGAAGTGTCACTTCTTGTATTCCTTCTTTTTCATCACTCAGCCTTGTACATGACCAACTTTGTTTTGATTTATCTTTCCACTGTTTTTTCTTTAATAAAGATAAGCAGATATGCTTATGTTTTTTAATTTTCCTTTTTTCTTTCTTAAAAGATACTATACTATATATGTTCCTTTGTACTTTTTTGTTTAAGTTAGCAGTATTTCTTGGAAGTCACTCCATAGCAGATCGTAAAAATGTTTTTTTCTAATAGCTGTATACTACTCTTGGTTTTTGTATATATCATAGTTTATTCAACTATGCTTGGATATTTAAGTACTTTCCCATAATTTTGAGTTACAGATAATCTTTGATGAATAATTTTGTTGTGTATATATTTTTAAATTGTTGGAGTATATTTTTGGGGTAAATTTTTTAAAGTGGAATTCCTGGATGGAAGAGTAAACACATACATGTCTTTGTTAGATATTGTTAAATTTCTCTCTGGAGGGATTGTACTACTGTAAATCCTCAACCTTGTTGATAGGTTCTGTGACTTTAAGTGAAACTGTATATACCTAAGCCAATTTTGCCATAAGCTAGCAAACTGATATAAACAAGAATTAAGTTCCTGTGGGATCTAGTCAGTGTTATAACAAATCGAACTTACTCAAGGACCTGCAGTATTTTGTACTTATACCAGCAAAGTATAAGGGTGCATATCCCCACAGCTTTGCCCACAGAGGGTATTTTTGAAGCTTTTGAATTTTTGCCAGTCTCAAGAGTAAAAGTAGCATTTTAGTGTAGTTTTAACTTTCTTGGTAGTCTTTTATTTCTATTTTTAAAAAATATATACTTTATTTATTTCCATTTACTTGTCCTATGATTTCATCACTGCCCTTCCCCAGTCTTGTGCTTTTATTTCTTTATTAAAGTATATTTTATTGATTATTTTATTACAGTTATCCCAATTTTTCCCCCTTTGCCTCCCATCCACTTGGCACCCCTCTTCCTTCTAGTAGTTCCCCCCTTTAGTTCATGTCCACGGGTCGTGCATATAAATTCTTTGGCTTCTCTGTTTCCTATACTTTCCTTAACTTCTCCCGAGTCTATTTTGTACCTACCAGTTATGCTTCTTAATCCCTATACCTTTCCCCCCATTCTTTCCCTTACCCCTCCCCGCTGATAATCCTCCATGTGATCTCCATTTCTATGATTCTGTTCCTGTTCTAGTTTCCTTTGTTTGTTTGTTTGTTTGTTTTGATTCAGTTGTTGGTAGTTGTGAGTTTGTTGTCATTTTAGTGTTCATAGTTTTGATCTTTTTCTTAATATAAAGTCCCTTTAACATTTCATATAATAATGGCTTGGTGATAATGAGCTCCTTTAGCTTTGTCTTATCTGGGAAGCACTTTATCTGCCCTTCTATTCTAAATGATACCTTTGATGGATAGCGTAATCTAGGTTGTAGGTCCTTGCTTTTAATCACTTTGAACACTTTTTGCCAGTCCTTTCTAGCCTGTAGAGTTTCTTTTGAGAAATCAGCTGATAGTCTGATGGGAACTCCTTTGTAGGTAACGCTCCCCTTTTCTCTTGCTGCTTTTAAGATTCTCTCTTTATTTTTAACTGTTGGCAGTTTAATTACGATGTGTCTTGTGGTCCTCTTTGGATCGAACTTGCTTGGGACACTCTCTGCTTCCTGGACTTGTATGTCTGCTTCTTTCGCCAAATTAGGGAAGTTTTCTTTCATTATTTTTTTCAAGTAAGTTTTCAATGCTATGTTCTTCCTCTTCTCCTTCTGGCCCCGCTATGATTTGGATGTTGGCACTTTTGGAGATGTCCCAGGGTCTTCCTATTCTCTCCTCATTTCTTAAAATTCTTGTTTCTTCATTCTGTTCTGGTTGATTGTTCATTTCTTCCTTATGTTCCAAATAACTGATTTGAACCCCAGCTTCCTTCCCTTCATTGTTGTTTCCCTGTGGATTTTTCTTTATTTCACTTAGTGTAGCCTTCATTTCTTCCCTTAAGCTTTTGCCATATTCAGTGAGTTCTCTGAGCACCTTATCCACTAGTGTTTTGAACTCTGCATCTGATAGATTGGCTATCTCCATTTTGCTTAGTTCTTTTCCTGGGGCTTTGTTCTGTTCTTTCACTTGGGCCATATTTCTTTGTCTCCTTGATTTGGCAGCCTCCCTTTGTTTGTATCTGTGTATTAAGTAGAGCTTCTTTGAGTCCCTGTCTTAGTGCACTTGCTAAGTTGTATGGGGTGGAGTCTTAGGTTTTTGCCAGGGCTGGGCAACCTGCTGCACTGTTTTGTGGCTCTGTATGTGGGGGAGGGATTGGAGAGGGTATGATGAAGCTAAGGCTTGCTCAGCCCTCACACTGTTTCTAGTCATTTCACCCCCTTCCTGTATGTGACTGGCACCACCCCAGCAGCCTCCCCCAGGTGGTGGTTCCCAGAGTAGGTAGGTCTATGTTCATTCTAGAACCATGTGAGCCCTTTAAACGGCCTCTCACGAGAGACTGGCAGTTTCTTCTGCCACCTCAATCCCCATTGGTTTTTACAGACTGAAGTCATGAGGCTTTATTTTCCTGGCACTGGAAAACTGGGCTTTGTGGTCTGTCCTGGGCCTGGGATCGCTAACTCCCAAGGCATCCCTCCCAGTGTTATTCACCACACCTGAATGTGGGACTGCCCATTGCACCAGCTGCCTCGCTGCCACCATACTGCATTCTCTCTGCCCAGCTTTGGCCCTCCTTCCTGGCTTCTTGAAATCCTTGGTTGTCGGACTTCCATACAGTTTGATTATCTGGCAGTTCTGGATGTTTTTTGTTTTGAGGTTATTTGTGGTCCCTTATAGTTGTGTCTACCTACACCTCCATCTTGACCAGCAGTCTCATGCTTTTTTTCTTTACTGTGAAAATCTGTCCACAGAATTGCTGGCATTTCACATGAATACCTGTTCTATATTTTTCAGTGTGCTTTCTGTTTTATTTTGAAATGCTTTTCTACCTCAGACTTCTGAAGAATGGAGTGTGATTTGATGTTAAGTAACTAAAAGATGTAATTTCCCCACAGTGTTAGGATTTTGTTAACCTGTTAACACTTGATAAGTGATATAGCCCCTCAGTAATAGTTAAGGCTGTTTTGCTATTTAATATTTTTGTAGTTTGGAGCCATCATTACAGTAAAGTTTGTTTTTTTTTTTCCTTCTTCCCATAGAACATTCCTGATGTAGATGAAGAAGGCTATAGTATAAAACCAGAAGCAAATCAGAATGATATCCTTTTATCATCTGAATATTTTTATGGATTTTGTTGTCCTATAAGTAGACAGTTAAACTACTCTGTTATTTAATAAAGAATCTTCAAGTTTTTAATTAATTTTAATAAAATGACCCCATATCCTTCATTTGACATGTCTTTATTAACAAAAGTTAGTAGTTACATTTCTATTAAAGTCTACCATATCTGTTAAAGGGTTTTGTTACTTTTTATTAATGTGTGAAAATTGGTTATGCATTAAGACAATTTAAAAACTAAATTCTTTAACTGATACTCACATACCAAAGAGAACCATTTCTACTCATCTAGTGATTCTGATTCTGAAGATGAAGAACCAAAGAAGTATCGGATAGAAATCAAACCTATGCATCCAAATAACTCACATCATACAATGGCTTCCTTGGATGAATTAAAAGTGTCTATTGGAAATATAACACTCTCCCCAGCAATATCTGTAAGTAAAAAAATGAGCAAGTGTGTACTTGTTACATACAAGTCTTTCTGCTGTTGTTTTTAAAGACCATGTCTACCTGCATCTGGTTAATTTTCAGAATAATAAAAAGTGATATATGACTTAGCAGTAGTTAAGCATGCTGGATAACGAAATATTTATATATTTTTTATTTAGCCTTATTGAGATATATAGTTTATAATTTTTATATAGTCAAATGAACTTCTAAGTTTGACCTAGTTTTGCTTCCTTTTGAAAGTGTATTACAAAGGAAGCAAAGGAAAATCTTTTTCTACCATTTGTTGTATTTTATAAATAGTTCTGTATGACTCAGGCAGAATTTTGTGAACTGGCAGTATTAATCTTTTCCTCATCAAATTTTTAAGTTTTTGTCCCATGTTTTGTGAACTCCATGTAGAAGGGAATTCTGTAAAAATGAATTTAAAGATTAAATGATATCTTTGCTTTATTTTCGGTCTGTCACTGTAACTTTTTTTTAACTTTTCATAGAAGGAAAGGGAAACATAAAAATTCTTATAGTGATTAATTTCTCAGTTTTGAGATACCATACTTAATATCTTTTTAGGGAGAAAAAATCATAATACATCTTTCCATCAATGCCATAGTCTAAATTCAAAAATGTTAAATTCTCGGGGGAAAAGTATGCTTTAGAATGATAGTGTGTCTGTACATGTTTGATATTAAAACTGTTCTCCTTGATAATGGAGAATAAAAGTGCTCACCATTTCATATTGTTATTTGATTATATATTTTAAGTAGTCTGTATGTATTTGTTTGGATAAAAGTTTTTTTCTCCCATTCAGTTTTAGGATTTAATTTTAGGATTATTTTTTCCACCAAAAAGACAGATTGCTGAAATGAGGTTCTGTTCTATCATTATTAGTTAACGTCAGGGTTAACTTATGGTATATATATATGAAGGAGAAAGTTTTGTGAAACCATTAAAAATTTTTATTGTCTAAGCATAACTAATTTAAAATATATTTGTAAGTAAATAAAAACCTAGAGGAATATACATCAAAATGTTAAGCAGTTATCTGGGTGGTGAGCTCATTGATGGTTTTAAATTTTCTCTTTTGTGCTATTCTTTTGTATTTGTTTAAAAAAAACAGTGAACATGTATTAATTTCATTTTCAGAAAATACATGATAGTCATAAAATTGTTAATTGTTAATATTGGGTGTGAAAAGAGGATATCGTGAGTGTATTTCGCTGTCCAGTTTGCATATCTAGCTTAAGTATTCTCCTCCAACAATGTATGTTTTTTAAGGTATATAGATTTTAGATATGATTTAGAAGGGAAAAAACAAATTATTAGAGCTGGAAAATATAATTTCTTTTTATTTTTTTGGTGAGTGAAAATGGAAAATAGTGATATTTTAAATTCTAAAAAAACCACTCTCTCTCTTCTTTTTCCATGTACTGCTAGAGACACAGCCCAGTAAGTGCAAGATTTTACGCTTTTATCTATTTGACCTTAAAAAAAATAGTAATGTTTGAACAGTAATTTTCAAAATATTTTGCATTAAATATTATAAATTAGCAAGTCATAGTAAGTTGCTTTAGATATTTAATAGTTTAATATTTAAAAACATTTTATTGAATGTTAAAAGTACATGTGTTTTTTAACTATAAAACATAAACTACCAAAAGTTTTTTCTGTATATCTTTTCATGTAACTACAGTTTACAATTGGGCAGATTTACTAAAAGCAATTTAAAGTTTAGGTTGCCAGTATTAACATTTTATGAAATATTTCATTACCAAATGAATTTATTTAATGTCACTTAGTTTTTATATTTCCGTTTTAGGTGCAGATGAATCAGAATTCGTCTAGTAAGTTTGACATTTAAGTTGGTTATTTTATTTATATTAAAATTTATCAGACAATTTGCTAAGCTTGTGGCCTTACATATGTAGTATAAAAATAGGCTTTTCTCATTATGAACCTTAACAACAGCAGACTAAATGGATACTTACTTTATAACAGGTGGCAAATTATTTATATTATCTCTTTTAGCTTTGAGACATGCCTTCAGCTTCTTTAATACCTGACTACTACATTTCTTTAGAAATCAGCAACACCAAAGAGTAACATCTGATTAAAAATGTTAACTATTTAATTGGCATAACTCTGCCTCATGTGCTGGAAGGCATTTATAAAATGAGTAATCTTTCGTTTTACTTATTTTTAAGTCATGTCACAATTGCAATTTCTATTATATGGTTTTTAGTTATAACAGTTTAATTATATCAAAAACATTTTGGGCTGTTAATACCTTATACGGAATCATGCATAAAAATAACAAGGGTTATGGGGAAAAAATTGAGGCAGCACATTCAAAATCAATAAAATTTTGTAAACACAATGTGTGATAAAAACTTTAGTATCAACCCTAATAAAAATTCTAGCTCAATTAAGAAGAACCATTAAATTTATAATAAAAATACCAAACAAAATTCAGTATTTTACTTTTAAAAAAGAAATGGTGAGTTGCTTGATAAAGGAGGTGAAGAAAATGAGGATAAAGGGGGGCCATCGACTTACAGAGATGAGGGCAAAATGCAAAAAGATGGAGGAAGGCAGCACAATAAGCACTTTGTGGGAAACGCTAAACTGGGCCACATGGGAGAATGTGGTGTGAATGGGCATCATGTACAGGGTGGTGTTCCTTGTAGTTTGTTGTAGTTACCCATGTCGATGTATTTTGTGTTCATCAGCTATTGCTTGATGATGCAAAACGTTGAGGTACAGGGAAAATTGCTTATGAACCAACATGACTTTTGCATTACTGATGGTTTTCCAATGTGTACTAGTTGCTTATAAAATGTTTCATGTTCCAAATGCAAAAGAGAGCAAAAGAGACTATCTTATAGAGACTGTTAACCTAGGTTATTTTACAGATTTTAATTTTTTAAGATAGGATCCTTGAAGAAGTTGGTAATTACTTTTGACCAATATAATAATCACTAATATTCTTAGAATTTGAAAAATGCTTTCATAATTCATCAATTAAAAATTCTTGAGTGTTACTTATGTAAGTATTTAAACATTTGTCCTAATTTTTAAAGTTGCAGCCCACGTTTTTCTCTTTTGAACAGCCATTTTATTTTAATAAATATGAGAGGTTAGTTGATTTGACTTAAGTCATTTCTTACAAAAGATGTTAGAAGAAGTAAAGAGTTAGAAGAATTTCAGCTATTTTAAGATTCTTCACAATAGAAAACTTGTTAAAAGCTTATTTTTCTTCACAATTGTTTGTTATATTTGTTATTAATTCCACACTTATAAAATTGTTTATGGTAATGAGATAATTTTTAATTAGGTGAAGAGTTAACAAAATCGAAACCATCTGCTGCATCCAATGAGTAAGTCCCATGTTTAAATTTTTTTTTAACAAATACTTTATTTCTTTAGAGCAATTTTAGTTCACAGCAAAAATGAGTGGAAGGTGCAGGGTTTTTGTGTATACTCTCTGCCTCTACATATGCTCAGCTCCCCCAGTGTAATAGCACATTTGTTGTAATTGATAAACCTGCATAGACACATTATTATCACCCAAGGTCCATGGTTTACACTAGGGTTTACTCTTGGTGTTATATATACATCATGTGAGTTTTGACAAATGGATAATGATATGATAACTATTATAGTTGTATACACAATAGGTTGCCCTAAAATTCCTGTTTCCTCCACCTTTTTATTCTTCCTTCCTCCCAACCTTTAAATTCTAAGTATCCTTCTTCCTGTTTTCTAGCATTTTATTATCTCTGCAGTTTCAATTCCAGGAGGGTGTTGTGAATTATCCTGTTTCTTAAGCTGTCAGGTGCCCTGTGGAGTTTTTCATTGATCATTTGATGATAATTCTTTTTTATAACAATTTTTAAAAAACCATTCAACTGTATTTGGCCTTAATGGCCTGACTGCTTCTAAATAAATGATAGTATCTCAAGTTTATACATATCTGTACCTCAACTGGTTATTCTCATGGAAATTTTCTCTCTTTTCCCCCTCAATTTTGGCTGTGACCTTACAAAATAGACTATACTTCATGAGCTTCAAAATGAGGACGTGTCTCAAGTTGAAAAAGGAGAGGGCTAAAAGGCATGCCAGCTGTTAAAAAGAGAAAATATTTTAAGCCAATGCTGCAAGGGTCCTTTTTCATTTCTGTATCTATTAAGAATACTTTCTTTTAATGTTTTTGCATGAGTAAAAGTAGGCCTAATTAATGGGTAATTAATAAATGGATAGTTTAAAATTATGTCATACTTTCCAAGCTAGACACGAACTGAGTATAGTGGTGGTATTCAATTGATTTACCATTTCTAAAGATAAGTTGTAGAATGTTTCAAAACTAGGAATCGTTTATGCAATTGTAATTCTAGCTACACTTTATCATGCAAAATGTGTATGTCCATGTAGGTGCCTGTAGATCATTGTAACATTTTTATTACCTAGTGGTTCTGTTTTCTAAGATTTTGAAAAAATATTTTTAAAAATAATGGCAGTTTGATACTTTAAAACAGGGGCCCCCAGCCCCCAGGCTGTGGACCAGTACTGATCTGTGGCCTGTTAGGAGCTGGGCCACACAGCAGGAGGTGATTAGCGGGCTAGCAAGCAAAGTTTTGCTGTCATTACTGCCTGAGCTCCACCTCCTGTCTCCTGTCTCCCACTACCCCCGCCCCACCTCCGGCTGCCCACTTCCCAAGTCCATGGAAAAATTGTCTTCCATGAAACTGGTCCCTGGTGCCAAAAAGGTTGGGACCACTGCTTTGAAATATTGTTTTAATGGGATTTCATTTCTTTTTTTTTAATACCTTAAATACATACGATTTTGATTTGTCAAGCATACCTCAGTACAGCTGGGAAAAAATAATTTAAAAAAGAGGTGGTTGCTAAGGTCAGGTGCTTCAAGATCCTAGAGATTATATTCATATATCTTTGTAAAAATCCAGAGAGTAACTAGTACAGTGGATTTTAAGAGGTCAGTGGAGGAAAATCTTTGGTTATACATTATGTTGAGTTTATTTTGAAACTGGAAATGTTGATCCCCTTGATGATTTTGTCCATAGTCATGGTTATATCTCATAAAAAGGCATGTCGGAACCAGATAAATTTCATCACACTGCCTCATGGGCTCGGGCAGTGAATTTACCCAGGGAGCTCACTGAGGTAATTATATCGTCTACTGCAGTGAGCAGATCTTTGAGGTTTATATTGACTTGTTGGGCTTACTTGTGTACATGAGAAAGTACTTTTTAAAAAATCCTTTGCCCTCTTTCTTTTAAAATAAGCATTGCCTTATAAAATTTCTCTCTGATTTCATATCGCTTAACACCTGAAATTGTTGTAGAATTAAGTAGCCATGTGTTTTTAGGCAGCTCATTTAGAGACTGTGCTGCGTTTTCTCATTCGTAAAGCTGAAATCAGTATTCCCATTCTAAGAGCCCCTAGGATTGTTAAGAATAACAAGGATTGATAAGTGGGGATTTATCTTCTACCCTCTCCCTGTCACTTTCATATAATGTTATTGTAGATTTCTGCTTAAAAGGGTTAACAAGATTTTGCACATATTCCATTGGCAGAACATCAAACTTTTTAATCATATATGTTGAGCTGTTATAATTCTGTGAAATAATAAATGACTAGATTTTAGACTAATAAAATATTCCTTTATTAAAACGCTTATTTTTAAAATACTGTGGAAGGAAAGGGACCAGTGATTTACTTGCATGGGACCCTCTGTTTGGACCATCTCTTGATTCATCATCTTCAGCTTCACTAACTTCATCATCATCATCAGGTAAATATATGTATACTTGCATATATATTTTAAACTGTGAAATTCAGAAGTAACTTTTTCTAGTTGATTTATTCATTACTTATTGTACTTAATAATCAAAAATTTTTTTAAACATGTCTTCTGATCATACTGCCAGATAACAGTAATTTTATACTGGTTTTGTTAACTTAGTTTAAAGACCCTATGGCTTAAACAGTTAAAATTTATCAAACATCAACAGGGTGTTTTTTCATTTATATATTTATTTCTGAGCATCATTCCCATATTGATGTGTATAAAAAAAATTTAGCTGTATAGATGTGCATTAATGTAACCAGTGCTTTCATGGTGGACATTTAAGTTTCATCTAATTTTCCACTACTGTGAACATTCATAAATATAAAAAATTTTGTGCACATCTCATAATATCCTTTTTATAATAGATTTTATTTATTTTTAAAAAGGGGAAGGGAGGGAGAAAGGGAGAGAAACATCAATGTGTGGTTGCCTCCCATATGCCCTCAGCTGGGGACCTAGCCTACAATGCAGACATATGCCCTGACTTGGAATTGAACTAGTGACCCTTTGGTTTGCAGGGGGCACTCATTCCACTGAACCACACCAGCCAGGGCTCATAATATCCTTATAACAATTTATCAATGTAAGATTTATGAATCAGAAGATATATTCATTGATACTTATTCCTAAACTGCTTTCCAAAAAGGTTTTAGCACTTCCCAAGCAGTGTCTGAAAGGACTTGATGAATGCTTTTTAATTGTTTTGGCAGGAGTATATTAAGTTTCTCTTATTTTCAAAATATGAATTCCCATTTGCCGACACTCAAAGCAGGCATCAAAAATGCATGTTTAATAAAACCGCTGCTTGGTCAAAGCAAGAAAATAAAACCACTGTTTTAAGTTGATCTTCAGCTTTCTTGGGGATTTTAGAAATGGAGAAAGAAACTTCATTGTCCTGATTTTATAAATGAAAAAAGTAAAGCTCAGAGATGGTCAGGTAGATCTTTTCAAAGATCATGTAACTAGGAAATGATGAAGCATAGATTCAAACTTGGATTTTACTAATTCTAAAATCTTTTGTACTCTGGTAGATTAATAAAACAAACAGCCTTGTTGAAACATTTTACTATTAATAATAAAATAGACACTAGTATTTAAAAATTAGACTTTAGGAACTAATATTTTAAAAATAATTTTAATTGTATTTTAAGCAACTTAACCTGAAACAATTTGTAATTTTGAAGGGAAAGTGATCCGTATCTAATCCTTGTAAAACAGCAAGAAGTAGTCAATAGATAGGTAAACATATTCAGAAGTGTCATCATAGCCTTTCTCAATGAGCATTTGTTACTAATTAGTTTTATAAAAGAACTTTACCAGTAGGTTGTATAAGGAAGGTAGAATTGTAGAGGAAAAACTGAAGTTGTCCATAGGGTCCCTTGTTTGTTTGGTAAGAATGTCAGAATGGTGGTTTTGTATTTAGGGCCTGAGCAGTGTTTTTTCAGTTTTGTTAATATTCTTTAAGAATTTTTTTCAAATCTTTAATAAAAAAATTTACATTGGTATCACAGAGGCTTTAGTTATATTTATAACTCTATCCTTTGTTTCTCACTATTTTCTTTAGCACAGTCTCTTTATTTTCAAGAAAGCATTCTCTTTTCCTCTTGCTACCTGTCTAAAGAATGTTTTGCCCATACCACTTTCAATTCAGGTAAAAAAGTGATGTATTTTCATTCAGTGGTCATTTGATATTTAGTAGCTAAGATATAAAATACTTGTTAACCTTCTGCTAGTTTTAAAATTCACTTTGGTTTGCATTTTTAACCTTCCTATATATAGTCTGGAAAATAATGCCATAAATTATTTTGGCATTCAAAGAATATTAGTGATGTTGAAAGATAATTATTTTTACACAGTAATTAATAGTACCACCAGAGAGCACAAATAAGTTTCCTTTTGTTACATGGTTGCAAAATCAGTGACTTTCCTTTATTGATGAACTTGTTACAAGTTCATGTCTCCAGTGGAGCTCGGACAGCATTCCAGAGATTGCACTAGAAAGCTGAAAATATCTTTTTTTTTAAGTTTCCTGATGCTTTGGTTGAGAGATCTACCAATAGCTGCATCTCTGAAGATCAGAGTGGCCTTTGCCATAATATCACATGTCCTGAAAAAATTAATGACAAAAGAAGCTAACAATGCTACTGATTTTTCTTCTGCATCATCATCGTTGCTTCTGGAGTCTAGATTAATATTTTTTGTTGTTCAGATAAAGAATGGTGTGGGGAAGATGCCTTACCTATTTTCCCTAGGCATTGTCAGAGGGCAGATGTAAATTAGCTCTTATCTCCTATGTTTTTATACTTTATGAGCCTGTTTTTATTTTTTAATATATTGCATTTGATAGACATTTCTTGGACGTGAGCTCCACTATCAACATCACTACTACTACCAAAAAAACCACACACAATTAAAACACTTAAGCTTATAAATAATTATAGTAATCTCCTTCAAAAGCTGCTGAAAGCAGTACGTAATTGGCATATGCAGATAGATTCATTTATAACATATATTGTTAATTTATAATTAATAGATTTATTTACAGTTTTACCAGCTTTCCCCAAACAGCAACTTCTGATTATTTGAACTTAACATTTCTACGAATCTCGGTTTTGAGTCAGTCTGAATGCCATTTGGAGAGGCCAACTTGATTGATCAATAATGAAGTTTTAAAGTATAAATGTCTGTTATGTTAGGCTGTCCCACAGGTTTGAAATAACTGGAGTATTGGTCAATGCTGGTTTCATTGATAATGAATGTATCTTTAAAGTAAATGTGACATAGCACAGGGCAGGGAGATGGTCCTCAGGTTGGTGCTCATACCTCCTAGTGCACAGCCTAAGTAGGAGTGCAGCATGAAAGGCCTGCTGTTTACTGGGAAAGGGCAGCAGCCTTAGAAACTAAACTTGATTTCTTACCAGCTTCCTACTGTTTTCTTCAAGCAACCTAAAAGTTGCTCACATCTTTTCTCCCTTCATACAGTGTGCTTTCTAAATAATTCCATAACCCCCATGGCATTTACTTTCACTCCTGTGTGACTACCTTTTCTCATTGGGTCGCTTCCTACCACTTCCATGTTCTTCCTTTTCATGTTTGCAATCCTCTTTCACTGACCAGGGGTCTTTGGCTTTACCTCTTACTTCCCCTTGTATATATATTTAGGCCCTATATTTTTAACGTTATACATCTGTAAACTGATAAAATTTAACTGAAATATATTTCTTCCCTTCCATATTCTTCAGTTTCTGAATTATGTAACTTCTGATGATGGACATTTGAATTCCACTCAATTTCCACTCCTCTGATGAGAGTTATTTTTAATTAGGAATATTGAGCATTAGTATTTCTGATTTATAAAATTGCAGAATTTGCAACTGATGTTGAAGAACAGTGAACACTAAATTTATATAGCATTTAGGGAAAGTTAAGATTATTTTCAACACTTACCAAAAATGAATTAAGGGTGATGTAGGGAAATTTTTTTAGTAAACATAATTTTAATTCTTTTGTCACAAAAAATGTTAGTGTGGTTCAAAAAAAGTCAGATTACAGTTTTAATTAAGGTAAGTGTTATTTAGAGTTCATGTTCTATTTTGAAGGTGTTTCAAAGACTTGGCTTTACATTACTGTCTGTAAAGTAGGTGTATGAGCAATAAACTAAAGACCTTAGGCCTTAAATTATTTACACCAGCTAACTTATCAGATACAATTTTTATAAGTCATTGAAACAGATAAAATTTATGTGTCAGTTTTATTGGAAATTTAGTCATTTTTTTTCCAGGAATACTATTGGTAGCTTTGGAAAAAGCATGTTTGATTGATAGATTCCTAGTATTTCACCAAATATCTATAATTACATGTTTTAAAAACTCCTAAAAAATAAGCTTTGAATTCTAACAGTTCCTCTGTAATAGAATGTCTTTATATACGGATTGCTACATACTAATGATTTTCTTCAAATTTTTCCCCCCCACCAGCCAGGCCCACAACTCCTCTTTCTGTAGGCGCCATTGTCCCACCTCCAAGGCCTGCTTCCAGACCAAAGCTTACATCAGGCAAACTCAGTGGCATTAATGAAATAGTATGTACTCAGGTGTTTCTTCTTTTTAATTTAACTGTTTTGATTTAAGATGCAAATGATATCTTTCTCTATGTCCCTTTACAATTAAATGCTTGTAATCTTCTACTCAGTCTCTAAAGTATGGAAAAGTTTCCGCAAACAACACTTTCTTCACTCCCCCATCTTACCTTATTACCGTATCTGTGGAGCAAGACATTATTCAGAAGGAAAAATATTTCCCTACAAAGTTAGCACATTTTAGAAATATTATTCACTACCCATTTGTTTCACAGTTGAGAAGCAATATTTATGTAATTTTACTTAAAGTCAAATATTAAGAAATGGTTCCTGGCCTTAGAAGTATACTCTCAGGAGAGTCCTGAAAGGCATTTAGTTCAGCCTTCTTTACTTTGTATATAAGGACACTGTAATTCACATCACTTGCTTTGCTTTTACATATTGCTATAAAAAAGAAAAAAGCATTGGTCTTCAAAAGTTGTCAGATAATGAAAGAAATTTTATGGATTCTATTCAGAGTGAGGCTCTCCTAAACGAGTCTTCTTGCCTCTGATCTATTCTGCTTTGCTTTTATCTTTTATACCAATTGCCAGTTTAATTGCTAGAATTAAATTCTGAAAGTCAAACTTAATCTTCTTTTTCCCCTGATACACATATCCAGTGGTCCCTAATAATTCGTATGGTTGAATGTTTTAGCTGCATATACAAGGCTTTTCACCTGCATTATCCGATCAACTGTCCAACTTGCTCAACAACCTGCATTACCGTACTCTCCTCTTTGCAGTCTAAGTACAGCCACTTGATACTTTCCACAGTCCCTCAAACACATCATGCTCTTTTATACATATGTCTTATTATGCCCCCTCTATCTGAAATGCCACTCAGTTTTCTTTAAGACCCTGTTAAATATCACCATGCAGATAAAGCCCTATTTGATCATTACTCCTCCCCCAGTGGATTTAATGATTCTCTTCCTTATACCCATATGCTTTGCTTATATATCCCTTAGTGCACAAATCACATTTTATTCCCCCCCCCCCCCGCCACACCAGCCATATTTTTTTGTGTGTGTTCTCCTTACTGGACTATGCCATGGCCAATTTCATAACCTTAATACTTTGCATAATGCCTGTCATGTGGTACATAGATAGAAAATGTTTCATGACTAAATGAAAAGGCTTGAGTACTAAGTGTTGACATGGTGACATCTTTCTTTTACACTTTATCCCGATTAACAGATTTAGTGGAAGTGAAATGAAAGACTACCAACCTTGACATTTTTTAACTTATATAAAAATTATTACATCTTAATAACACAGGTGTTTACCTGATTACAAAAGCAGTTCCTGATTATCTTGTAAAATTTGGAAACTAAAACACATAAAAATTCCTTCTGTATTTTACCACTCAAAGATTAACCACTGTTAACATTTTTATATATCCTTTCATTATTATTATTACTATTTTTTAATCCTCCTCTGAGGATATGTTTATTGATTTGAGAGAGCGAGAGAAACATCAATTGGTTGCCTCCCACATGTGCCCTGACCAGGGACTGAACCCGCAACCTTTTGGTGTATGGGGTGATGCTCCAACCAACTACACTACCCAACCAGCGTTCATTATTCTTTGAATGCGTAAGTACTTATTTATTCAGAGGTAGTAAAATATAGTTGTTAAAAGCACAAGTTCTCTAGCCACTAACTACCTGAGCAACATTAGGTAGGTTTTTTATTTAGAACCTCAGTTTCCTTATGGGTATAATGATAATAGGTTGTTGTGATATTAAATAAGTTAATTCAGGATGGGGTAAAGTAGGTTTACAGTTTATGTGGACAGTAAAACAGTAATTAATAAATAATAATACAAGAATAAACCTTGTGTTTTGCATCCTCAAACTGTATACCTACTTTTTCCCTGCTGTCAAGTGAAAATAACTGCTCAAAAAGTGAGTTAGTATAAATGGTATGTGTATATTGTTAAATAAAAGGTCTTCTCTTGCATATTTTTTATGTGTTATTCACTTGAAAACATTTTGAGAATGTCTTCCTATATCATGAATTATTTCATAGTTTCCAAAATTTCTTTAAAGTGGTAGAATTCTTTGTCAAATAATTTTATGTTGTTAAGTCTATTAAATAAGTGGGATTTTTTTATAGCTGAATTCTTCATATCACCTTTCACCCTCTGCCCTGGTTTTTAGAGCCTTCTAGAGACCACTCTCTAAGGGCTCACTTCAGGGAGTGCCAGTTAGAGCATTTCTGCTAATGTGGCCAGTTTATCTTCTATACTATTGCCAGCATTAAATTGCCAAAACTTCTTAGAAATTTCTTTGACATTTAATTTCCAGGTTTCCATTATAAATAGTGTTTTAATTAATATCCTTATGTTTGTGTTTTTTGCAGACATTATTTCCTTAGTAAAATTTTTAAAGTGAAATCCATGAACTGAATGGTATGCACATTTTTAAGGTTCTTGATGATTGTTGCACTATTATTACCCACCAGAAAGGTTATGCTGATTTGAATTCTCTCTAACTGTACCTTGGAGTACTCTTTTTCTTGCATGTATGCGCACTTTCATCAGAAGGCCTATAACCACACCTTCCCCACACCTCTACAAAGAACCCCTCCATCATCTAGAGCAGTGGTTTTCAAAGTGTGGTCCGAAGACCAGCAATATTAGCATCTCTTGGGAACTTGATACAAATTCAATTTCTCTGGCTTCACCCCAGACAAATTAGAAAATCTGGGGAGTGGTCCAGCAGTTGTGTTTTAACAAGCTCTCCAGGTGAGGCTGATGCATACTAATGTTTGAGAGACACTGTTTTCAAGCAGTGCTGTCCAACGGAAATAAAATGCAAGTGACATACATAATTTTAAATGTTCTCATAGCCACATAAATAAGTAGAAACAATGAAGTGTGTTTTACTTCATATATAAAAATATTAATTTAACATATAACTATAAAAATTATTGAGTGTTTACATTCTTTTCATGTGTATGCTAAGTCTTCAAAAGTCACTCTACAGTTACAACTCATCTCAAATTTGGACTGGCTGCATTTCAAGTGCTAGTGGCTACTGTACAAGACAGTGATGTTCTAAAACAAGAAAAAAACACTTGAGAAAAAAGGTGTTTTTGCCTTTTTCTACAAAATTGTAAAAGACACATTCTCAATGTAGATTGTAAAAATGCAGCCGTATTACATTGGTTTTGAGGCTGTGTTGTCACAGGATAAATGTCCCCCACAGTAGTTGATTTCAAGACTTTTTCTAAACTTGTTAGTTTCAAATCAGCTGTTCAATTTACTATTTATTTGGCCTCGTATCTTGCACTACCCCAATCTGTAGACATACACAACTGCATTTTTTACACCTTGCTGTAGTTTTTCTACCTATTTCCTGTAATAATGAATCAGCAGAAAGCCATTCTCTGGAACTAAGTTTAAAAATAGTTAAGTGAGGTTGGGGGTTTGCTAATTATAAAATTTTGGGCAGTACTTTCTAATTTTCATGAAAGTTTATATCTGTAAATTTATATGTATGCAGTGAAGAGTTGACTAATTTTAGCGTATGAATGTGTTTTTGCCTTTTGTTTTTCAAGTCCCTCAGCTGAGGACAGGAACAATGTCTCATTCACTGCTTTGCCTCTAGTACTTAACGCATGGCCTGATACCTAGTAGGCACTAAATAAATACTGTGTTTATTTAATTCTTTTATAAACAGGAAAAGGTTATTTTTAAGTAAGCTAAATATGCCTTATTTTAAAAAATGAAACTCCTCAGGAAGTATTGCTAATGTATTATTGGAACAATTAGAAATTTGGAAGGGAAGAATTTATTTTTGTTTTTATGTTAAATTAGAAAAATGGGAAGACAGTAGAATTAAGGTTTTCTCAAACCTCTGTATGGTGTTAACTTTCTCAAAGAGGAAGCATTAAAATGAATTATAAAGGGAAATGAAGAAATTTGTAAACACTGAAAGTAAAGGGCAAGCAAGTATTTAGGGAGAAAATATTTGGCGCAAATAAAGTAAAGGGTTAGTGAAAGTTTAAGTAATATTATGTTCTCCCAAAACTAAATCAGATAAAGAAAGCTAATACCTACAACTCATAAAAGGGAAAAGGCCTATTTTTATCTATCAGACTGGCTAAAAGTTAAAGAGCCCATCCATTCATTGCTGGCAGGGGTGCAAAGAAATATTTTCTTGTATTTTTAAGCAGTAAAGTCAATAACCCTTTTGGGAAGCAGTTTGGCAGTACATGTGGGAAGCGTTCATACTGTTTAAATTAATCATTTAACTTCTGAGAATCTATCTTAAGCATACTTTTTGATATGCAGAAAATTATTTATGTACAAAGATTCTCTTCACAACATTATTTTTAAAAACTTTCAGCTTTTAATATTTTCTCAAAAATTTTGAGAAAATATTATTTGACCTGTGGCACCTCTAATTTTGAAGTATAAGAAACTCACATAAATAAACTTGGTTTACTATATTAAAATGAAACTTACCTGATACCTAATAATCTTTTTCTGATAAAGGAGGAATTGTTTTACCATTTTGATAAATAACTTTTTGTTTTTAAGCCCAGGCCATTCAGCCCACCTGTAACTTCCAATACCAGCCCGCCTCCTGCTGCTCCTTTAGCTCGGGCAGAAAGTTCTTCTTCTATCTCATCATCTGCTTCATTAAGTGCTGCCAATACTCCTACAGTAGGTAAGGGATTATCATCAATTACATGTGCAAGTTAGCATCCAAAGTATGATCAGACTGAGGGTTTGTTGTTGTTGTTGTTTGTTTAATGGGCTGGTGATGAATTTAACATTAGAAATTTGGGATTTCTGCAAATACCTGGCATTATCAAACTAGCCACATTTTCCTTTTCTTGCTCACTTTATATTATCTAGGTAGGAGAATTTTAACCATGGTTAGCACTGTTAAGAATGCATCAAATTTACCTGAAACTAATACAAATAACACTGAATATAAACTGTAATTGAAAAAAGAGAATGCATCAAATTAATATACTGACCAATATAAATACTGTAGTTGAAGGCAAAATATAGTGCACCCCTTTCTGTATACACTAATACTTGTATTCTTAAGAGTTTGTATTTGAAAAACAATTGATTAAATGGAAAAAAGGGGATTTATGCTTGAAGTCAATTATTTTTTTCTACAAGAATTTAAATCACAAAGATAAAAGATATTAGGTCATAGCTATACAAACCTAAACCCACTGAACAAATTCAGTATTACATCTACATTTTGCTCAAGAGTTTTTTCTGGCATCACCTTTATCCAATTTTTACTGTAAAATTTTTTTTTTTTGGTTAAAGATTTTATTTATTTTTAGAGAGAGTAAGGGAGGAAGAGGGAATGTCAATGTGTGGATATGCCTCATGCACCCCCTACTGGAGACTTGGCCCCCAACCCAGGCCTGTGCCCTGGCTGGGAATCAAACCGGTGACCCTCTGATTCGCAGCAGGCACTCTGTTCACTGAGCCACACTAGCCAGGGCTTTCCTGTAAATTCTTATTACAGTACCTTCCTCACCCACTGTTAGTACAATAAACAAAGCACAAAGCCACTTAAAGAAGCTGTGTTTCTAGAGCAACAGCTTATCAAAATTGTGACTGTCCCCATGCTGCAGCTTCTAAGTAATGATGGATTTATCCTTGATAATGCCTACATCACTGATTAGTACTAATTGAACATAGTTGAGTAGTGCTCAGAGTGTGGTCCTTGGGCCTGCAGCATCTATCTACATCACCTGGGAACTTATTAGAAATATAACCTTTTAAATCAAACCCTGGGAGTGGGGCTAGCAGTCCTTAAACAGGTCTTCTAAGTAATTTTGATGCATGCTAAGTTTGAGAATCACAGCCCTAATCAAGCTGATCTAATTATTATCTAACTTGATTTGTTAAAACTCACATGGAAGAAATGCATCTTGTGTCTGTGGCGTTTGTAAAAATGGTTTAAGTAATATAAGCTAAAATGAGATAAAAAATTATTTTATTTCTAAATGTCCAAACATGGTGTTACCATCTTTATATACCATCATATATACCTTTATGAACATAGCATTTTTCCCATCTTTTAACTTTATGGAAACACAATATATCTAATAAATTTGTCTTTTTGTTTGCTATAACAGCAGTTCTTTTTTTGTATATGTGGTTTTTAATTTTTGCTTTCTGCAGAATTTACATTTTAGTCATAAAATTCATAGGTGGTTCCTATTAGAAATCAGGCAGGTGGTCTAAACCAAAATTAGCTTTAGTTCTTTTCCATTATCTTTAGATTATTCAGAGGTTTATGTGTGTGATGGAAACTTTAATTTTGATTAAATTTGTACATAAGTTTTTAGTTTGAGTCACTGTGGGCAGTAGAACCACAAATAGGTAGGTGACTCTGATGATGAAGGCGGTTTGTATGTGGGTTTTGTTCGACAAACAATCTTTAAATCTACCTAAAATATTCTCTTTCTTTACTGTGATGCTTATCAGCTCTTTGTTTAGATGTAAATTTTTGACTGTTGTTTCTTGAAAGTATTCTTTTCCTGCAATATTTTGTTTTATTTAAATATGATAGAAGATGATAATTTGATTGGGACACTCTCTGAAATTGAAAAGCACTGTGAGACTTCACAAGGTATTGTATTGAAAGCAAATGTATGTGTTAACTAATGATCCTAAAGTGTATCTAAAATACTTTGTTATCTAAGTTTTCCTTTTCCAGCAATGTATGGTGTCTCAGAAATCAAGATTAACTCTAAGGTTTAACTTTCTCAATTTTGTACTAATTATATACAGTTGCTATATAGAATATAGCATCAGAGCCCCCAACTATAAAAACACAATATTTTGGCATTATCTTCCATCTCTCTGCTCTTCTCTGAACATTGAGAAATATCAGTCTTAACTCAAAAGCTATTGGAATCAGAAAAAGTGATTATAAAAGAAGCAGAAAGAATACTCTCAGTTAAGGCACCATTTTTTCATGCCTCCTTAGCAGTGCTGTGTCTGGCACATATTAGTGGCTAGTAAATAATTGTTGTGATTTTGTGAATCAAACTTTATATTACTGGGTTTTTAATTCTCACCTAAAATTTTAAGTTGTCTTGCTTGGTTGTGGGATTCTTTTTCCCAGTGGTGTAGAAGCAGCAGTTCTTGTTCTCATGTATTTTAATTAACTGAGCTATTTTTCTAAGTTTGGAGAGCTTTCTAAATGAAAATTCCTTCAAATTGTCGAATATCTCAAAAATCTTCTGGCCTTTAAAGCTAACAAAAGATGATTCTATTTGTAGGATCTCAGACTTAGGTGTGAGGCAGAGAAAGCCAGTACTGAGTTTTGTCAGAATTAATCCTTTAAGTGTAATAAAAGTAACTCAGTCTTTCACTATGGGTAATCAGTCACCTCTGAAATAAAAATATCTGATGGCTAGGAACATTGTGCAACATTTATATAAAAGCAGACATTCAAATTTCAGAGCTCTATGTCAACCTAGGTTATTCATTTTTTAAATAAGAATGAATAATTATAATTCTATTATTTTTACAAATTTTATCACATATTACATATTAAAATATAAATGGGAAGAGGTCATTTGTGGAAAAGAAGAAAGGCAGTGCACCATTTTGAGGGATTTTCCTTTTATGAAATTAACCAACTATTTAGTTTACATTTAAAAAAACTTGAACATATGCATAGTTTTAACTTTGTTTATACTTTTATTATGCTTCTAAAACACTTTATATGCTTTGCTATGATTTTACTCTAAAGGTATCTGAGTGAACTTATTATAGAAGAAGTGATATAAAAAACTAATGTTAGTTAACATTAATCAAGAAAAGGTAATATGGGAATATAATATAGGTATTAGAGAAAGAAGAGGTAAAAGAGAATTCATATAATAAATACAAAAATCCAGTTCAATGACCTGATGTATGTAATTGGTAGAACCTGAAAGAATTTAGTATCTGATTTTGAAGCCATAGGTTAGTAATTTTAGCTCTTCAGGTAAAGGGCTTTTTCCTTCTGACATTCTTAACCCAGTCCTTCTGTGTCATTACATTTAAAAGAAAAAGTCATTGTGACATTTTTCTGATTTTTTTTTTTTGTCCTTTGTATTATTTTAGGCTCGCTTTTAACCTCCAGATTTTACTTGGGGGGCATCATTGAAATCAGTAATAGAGTTACTGTGATAAACTAACATTGTGATTATACATGTCTTGATATTTAATAAATGTTTTTCAGTAGGATTTAACAAATGAATTTTATGTATTCTAGGTGTGTCACGAGGTCCCAGCCCTGTCAGCCTTGGAAATCAGGACACCTTACCCGTGGCAGTCGCCCTTACGGAATCTGTTAATGCCTACTTTAAAGGAGCAGATCCCACCAAGTTAGTTTAAAAAAAAAAACAAAAAACCAAATGTGTATGTGTGTGTTGCGGGGGAGGAGGGTAGAGGGGCTTGGTTGTAAATTTTAAGAGTTATGGTTGATTCTGTATAGGTTAGAGTTTACCTGTTTTTTGCTATCAAATATAGTCATTTAAGGATTGTCTTTCAAATTAAATCACTATAATCAGCAGTATATAATAAACCAGTATAAATAAACTGGACTTCCCCCCCCAGTTTATTTCCATTCTTCCCCAGGCTTTATGATCCATATGACATATGTGTAAAGCAGGATTTTGTTTTAGGTGGGGATAGAACTCTGAATCTTGGCCTAATGTATATGTTTTGTAAAAGTCTGACACTTTTACAAGAGAGACCCAGAATGCATATTTAATAGCTGGAAGTCTTGCAGAATTGGTTTAACCCCCTATTTTTCATGCAACATTATTCATTCAGCCTACATTCATTCTTCAAAAATTTGAGTGCCTACTATGTGTAAGACTGTTAAAAGTTTGCATTATTGTGAGATAGTTTCTTTGATGATTCATTTTCTCTCACAATAATGCAAGCTCAGGAGAGAAGAACTCTGTTTACTAAAGTATGCTTAGCACTTACAACAGTCTTACACACAGAAAACACTCAAATATTTGATGACTGAATGTACATCAAATGAATAATGTTATGCATGAAAAGTTAGGGGTATTGATATATACTGTGAAGGAAAATAAACCAGGATAAGGGGATGGAGAATTACAATAGAGGGCTACTGTTCTAGATAGAATGATCAAAGAAACCCTTTGAAACAGATGTTGGAAAGACATTGAGGAGTAAGTCATGCACCTGAGGGAAGAGCATTCCATTGAGTGGAAGGGACTGAGGAAGAAGCATGCTTGGCATTTTTAAGAAATAGCAAGGAGAACCATGTCACTGAGTGGAAGAAAGCAAGGAGGAGAGTAGTCAAAGTTAGACCCATAGAGGGACCAGTTCAGGTTGGGCATCATAGATCATAAAGAGTTTGGAATTTCTTTTTTGAGTGAGGTGGAAAGCCCGTGGAGGCTTTTGAGCAGAGGAGTGATGAGGTTACTTGTGATTTTGAAGCAGCACTGTGGCTGCTGTATAGAGAATAAACTGGAAGGAGCCAGAGTAGATGCAAAGGGTTAACCACAGAAGTCCAGGTCAGACAAGATGGTGGCTTCTGTGTGGGTATTAGCAGATGATATGGTGAATAGTAATAAGATTCTGAATGTGTTTTGAAAACAGTTGTAAAGATTTAGTGAGTAAGTAGACTACTAAGTTTGAAGTGCTTTATTAAGACAACTTAGTGGAGATACTGAGTATCTCCGTTGAATGCATGATTCTGGAGCTCAGGGCATAGATTCAGGTTAGAAATAAAATATCTAGTTGTCATTAATTTGTATAAAGTACTGAAAGCTAGGAGCCTTAGAGAGTAAAGAAGATATCTGATAAGAACTAAGTCCGGTCCCTTCCAGTGTTTAGACAGCAGGAAGATGAGAATGATCCAGCAAAGGAGTTTGAGATAGCATGCAACAAGAGAGGTCGAGGAGAGAACCAGTAGGCTGGTGTCCCAGAAACTGAGTGAATAAACCCTTTCATGAAGGAAGGTTCATGAAGCTATATCTGATACCACTAACAAGTCAAGAAACATGGACCATTGACAGTTTGGAGGTCATTGGTGACCTTCACAAGAGCGGTTTTAGCAGAGTGGTGGAGATGAAATCCTGCTCAGAGGAAGTTCAGGAGCAGGAGGTGCAAATAAAAGACACCTGTATATGGAGAGAGCAAATGTCGACAGCCCTTTCAGGATGTTTCGCTCTAAGTGCGAGCAGAAAATGGGGTAGTAGTAGAAGAGAGATGATAGAATCAGAGGAGGATTTTTCTTGGTTTTAGTGTTTTTCAAGGTGATATGCATTTTAGCATGTCTGTATGCTGATGAGAAAGATCCAGTATTTATGGGAAAAATTGAACCTTCAAGAAAGAGAGGGGACAATTTCAAGAGCAAAGTCCTGTGGTATGTAAGAGGAGGAGAGGCGCTTCAGTGCAGAAGTGATGGTTTGGCTTTAAGTGCATAGATTGATCATCAGTTGAAACAGGAGAGAAAGTAGAACATATAGATACAGAGTCGGGTGGATTAGTAGTTCTGTAGTGAGAGTATGAGAAAGTTCTGATTTTATTTTTTCAGTAAAATTTAAAGTAAAGTGACTGTTAGTAGGGAGAGGGAACATTGCAGGTTAGAGGGACGAGATGAAGCTATGAAAAGAGGTAGGGAATGTAGTAGAATTGTCAGGTAACAGGAGCACAGTTGACAGGCATGGCTGTATGGTTACATGTTTTTCTCTAGTCATGTTCAGCTCTGTAGATGTAGGTGAGGACCTAAATTTAGGCAAGACTGTTTTGCCAAGCAAGTGTAATCAAGTGAAAGAGAAGCAAGGGAGGGGCTATGCATATAAGTGTGCATAATAATGGACCAAGAAATTCCAAGATAGAAAGGAAATGAGGATAGGAAGGAATGAATGAAGGTTGGTGATAAAGGTGGTAGGAATAACAAATTGGGGAGGTTTTAATGAGGTTGGAGAATTGTTGGAAATGCAGTACTAGACAGAAGGAGTTGGAAGAAAAAGTGGTGATTAGATAAGTGGTGATTCTGAAATTGAGATTATAGAAGGGCTGCAGCATAGCTGAGGTAGACTGCAAGACAGGATCACTAGGGTTAGGGACTAACGGACTAGGTGACCAAAATATTAAAAGAATTATCTGCGTGGATATTGAAATCACTAAAAAATTATGATGGTCCATTTCTGTACCATTACTCCTAACAATGGGCCAGGAGCTAAAATTTTCAGAAAATGAAAGAGAGCGTTGAAGATGACTTGAAAGGGATGGGCTAGCAAATATAGTTTAGTGGTACAAGTTTCAAAAGAAGCTGATGGTTTCTATGAAGGAAGAAGGAATATAGAGTTGGAACAGGCAGTGAGGACCAAGGAGCTCATTTACCCCTGACTGCCACCCCAAGGTCCTGTACTCCGTGGAGTTTAGGGGACGGGGTTACCCTTCCAGGACAGTCGGGGGTGGTTTCGGTAAACAAGTTGGGAGATGTCACCAGTGTGTCTGCATCTGTGTTTACTATGCCATTTCATATAGGAATATTTTTTAAGTAATTTTAAACTAGAAAAAGTTTTATTCATAATTATATACGTAAAGCCCTTCTTAAATGAAATATGCTTTAAATGGAGATTAACACATATTACTTAAACTACTTAAAAATTTCAAAATCCCCAATTTCAGGTGTATTGTGAAGATCACTGGTGACATGACAATATCATTTCCAAGTGGGATTATTAAAGTCTTCACTGGCAATCCATCTCCAGCTGTGCTCTGCTTCAGGGTGAAAAATATCAGCAGACTAGAGCAGATTCTTCCAAACGCACAACTTGTGTTCAGGTTTGTGTACTTTTGTTTTGAAGGTGAAACTAAGAAATTGTTCTTTCTTGTTTGAAGCAGTAATAATTGAATTTGAAGACAATACCAAAATTATTTTTGATTGAACAGCCTTATGTCTTTGTTTTGTTTTTGATGGTGGTGGTAATTACGGCATTGTTAAATGTTTCTCTGCTGTCTTGTCATCTTTCAGGCAAGCTCCTATGTTTTATTCTTTTCCCTCAACTTTAGCCTTCTCTCATCCCACCTTTTGGTTCCTTTCTACTAGTTTTTCCCAGGTCACCAAATTATCGCACAGAGGCAAAGGATGAAGATAAGTCAAATAAAATAACAAACATATTTTTTATATGTGCAGTGATCCATCGCAATGTGATTCTAACACAAAAGATTTTTGGATGAACATGCAAGCTGTTACTGTCTACCTCAAGAAACTATCAGAGCAGAACCCAGCTGCTTCTTATTATAACATAGATGTATTAAAGTATCAGGTGAGTGTTCTGTCTTTAAAAAAATCCTAAATTTAAAATACTTCGAAATAGAATATTGCAGATTAAACGAATACTGTGTCATGGCCAAATGAGGTTCATTTCCAGGAATGCAAGGATGTTTCAAAATCTGTTAATAAGCCTTGGAGATTTTGACCAATTTGGTCGAATTCATCTATTTCTGATTAAAATATTGAGTAAATGTGAATACATGTGTGCTTAACTCAAAAAGACCAGCTGCATCAGTCTTAAAACACCTGAAGCAATCAGTTAAAGTCAGGAATGGCAAAGACAATCATTTCTGTTAGCATATAAGATTTTTCTGAATGTGTTAGTTCAGTTAGACAAGAGCATAAAATAATAAAATTATTAGTTACAGGTACTATTATATTTCTGAAAAACTCAAGAAAATCAACTGAAAAACTAGCTGATATAGGAGAATGTAGTAAAGCGATCAGTTTAAAAATTAATACAGCCCTGAATGGCATGGCTCAGTTCATTGAGCACCATCTGCAGAGTGAAAAGTCACCGGGTCAATTCCCAGTCAGGGCACATACCTGGATTGTGGGCCCAGTCCTTGGTTGGTGCACATCTGAGAGGCAACCAATCAATGTTTCTTTCCCTCTCTTTCTCTCTCCCTTCCCCTCTCTCTAAAAATAAATAAAATCTTTTTAAAAATTAATTGCTTTCACCCTGACTGGTATGACTCGGTTGGAGTGTTGTTCCACAACCAAAAGGTTGTGGTTTTGATCTCTGGTCCAGGTGCCTATGATTCCCTATCCCAATGGGTACAAAAAGGCAACCAATCAATGTTTCTCTCTCTACTGACTTGAATGTAGTTAGAAATACTTTTTTCATTCACAGGAAGACTCGAGTTTTGTAAAAAAGTTTAGTTACTTCTAAGTTAATTTACAAATTTAATGTAATACTGATCAGAAATCCGGTAGAGGTGTTGATGTGTTTGTGTTTGGAGACTTGACAGTCATTTTTAAGTTCTCTGGAAGAATAAAGTTTACAAGAATAAGTTAAGAAATGTTTTAAAAAGTAATGTGGAATAATGTTTTAGTTTTAATGGGAAAATTATTATAAAGCGACAGTATTTAAAATAGTTTGCAACTGGCACAACAATAAATGGCCAGATGAATGGAAAAAATATATAGGGTATCTAGAAATAGACTTAAGAATAAATGGAAAGTTGTCTATATGACAAGGTAGCATTTCAAGGCAATGTGGAAGTGATGAATTTTTCAATAAATGGTGCCGAGGCATCAGGTTAGAGATCTGGGGAAAAATTAAGCAAATCCTCAACTCATAACTTGAACCAAAATCAAATCCACATGTATCGAAGGTGTAATAATCATAATAAATGAAACCATAAAGATAAAGTATAGATGAATATATTACATTTTTGGGTATATATGTGTGTATATAAAAAAAGATTGCTTTATTAAAAGAGATGTGACCATTTGTTAATAGGAGTACAAACTAATAGAATCTTTTAGAAGAAAATTCTATTAGATTATTGAATAGACGTAACCTTTAATTCAACGGTTCCACTTCCAGAAATCTGTATTTTTTGGGGGCAGTGGCGGGGGAAAAAGATAAGGTACAAAGGATATTCACTGCAGCCTTGTTTGGAAATCACCTGACTACACATTCAGAGAGGATGAGATTGATTCAATTAATTATTATAACCATTAAAAAGAATGAGACAACTCCGTGTTTGCAGGTGCCTAAAAAGTCTGGAAGGATATGTACTATGATGCTGACAGTGAGGAGTAAGAATGCCAAGGGATAAATTTCCTATTGCATATACTTCTGTATTGTTTGAATTTTTAATAGGGTAATTCTATTAAAATGGCTTATGTTTCATCTATGGCCATACCACCCAGAATGTGCCTGATCTCATCTAAAATGGCTTATGTTTCTAGGAAATACTTAAGGAGTAAAGTGCTGCTGCCACTTAAGTAGGTTTAAAGTTTATTACAAGTATTCATTTATATCATTCACTCAACAAACATTTGTTATTCAGTGCTTGCTATCTTGGGAGTTGGATGGGGAGATAGTAAAATAAGAAGTAAATAGTATTGTGTGATAGAAAATAAATGGTATGGGAAAAGTGTAGAGTGAGGTATGAAAAGTTACATTTTCAATATAAATTCAGACAGGGTGATCGGAGTATGTCTCATTGTAAAGGAGTCAATTTGAGCAAGGAACTGAAGTATTAGAATTGTAGCATATACTATGGTCCATGTGATTAGTATCAGATATTTGAAGTTGGAAGTATTCTAATTGCAGGTTTGGAAAACTTCATGATAACTCATCCATTTTTTCTGTTGTAAATCTAAATTCTAATTTTTAGGAGAGAGAGAAACATAGATTTCTTGTTCCACTTACTTATATTTATATATTCACAGGTTGATGATCGTATGTGCCCTCACTGGGGATCGAACCCGCAACCTTGGTATATTGGGATGGCACTCTAACCAACTGAGCTACCCAGCCAGAGCTATATATAAGTCCTTCTAATTCATAAAAATTCTTAGAATTCTGTGTTGAATATTGAGAGGTGTTCAAACATTACATCCATAAATAAGAATCACTTAACATGGCTGATTTCTGGGCTCTCTACCTAAGTTGTTGAATCAAATTTTCTGCATTTGGTGACAGAGGAATGTACATTTTTAAACAAGCACCAGGAAAATTTTGATGTAGGTAATTCCAGGTCCAAACTTTGGGCATGACTCCCACTACTGCCTGTTTTACCCTAGCAATAGACAGCTCCCTCATTTATTTTTGACTGTGTTCAAGTATGCATGTCATGAACATAACTTTACTTTTCAGGTCAAATAATTGTTTGTTTTTCTCTTTTAAGGTATCATCAAATGGTATTCAGTCCACTCCTCTAAATCTTGCAACGTACTGGAAATGTAGTGCTAGCACCACAGATCTTAGAGTGGATTATAAGTACAACCCAGAAGCAATGGTGGCACCGAGTGTGCTTTCTAACATACAGGTGGTGGTACCCGTGGACGGAGGAGTCACAAACATGCAGTCCCTTCCCCCTGCAATATGGTAAATTAAGTAGATTTCTGAATTCCTACTAAATTTGTTTAACCTCCACCTTTTAGAACTTAAGTTATGAAAGTGGTGTAAGTTTGAGAAGTTTTAGTGCATTTTCCCATAGAAACCATGCCATAAAAGGATGTTCATTTTACTAGTCAAGCCATATTAGCCTCAACACAAAATAAACTAATTTTGCTGTCATCAACCAGGCTTTAATGCTTCAAGACAACTTTAGAAAGGCTAAGCAATTTGCCTAAGGGTGAACTTCTTTATTTTGTTTTACAAATAAAGGCTTTAATAATTATTTCACAGGGTTAAAATCATCTGACATATCTATAAGATCACCTATCTGATAACTGTTTAGTAGTATTAGTTACTTTCATCTCTTAACTACCTCTCTTGCCCTCACTATTAATATTAGTATAGACTCTAACCAGTCTTTATATTTGCCTCACCATTTAATAAAAGTGTTTTTCTTGAGTAATGAAGGAACTGAGTCACCTGCAAATTCTTTTTTCCTTTTCTGACTGATAGAAATGAGAAGAATTACGTAAATTGGTAAAAATTCCATCATTTGAGAGAGAGATAACATTTTATAATCACCAGGTGATACTACTGAAAGTAAATTTAGTACTATAGTTGTTCTAGTGGAATATTTAAAACACATGTATTTATTGAGGGCCTTTCATGTATACAGTATATAATACTAGCCACTTAATCTGAAAATTTATGTTATAGGAGTGCAGAACAAATGAAGGCCTTTTGGAAACTGTCAGGTGTTTCAGAAAAATCCGAAAATGGAGGTAAGTGTGTTGTGCTTGCTTTAAAAAAAAAAAAAAAAAAAAAAATGTGAGGTCAATGAAAATGGATCTTCCAAGGCATGTTTATGCTGGAATTTCAAATCTCCAGTTCTAGAATTGACCACTAGGTGGAAGTTAGTACCTTAAATAAGCATGGACTGGTTGAGAGTCAGAATGCATTTTTTTCCCCCCTCTAGATTGAGTATGCTTTCTCTATTAAGAAAAAGAATTTGTTTTGCTGTAACTTTATAAATATTAAGTAAATGTTTCTTATGTTCACATGTTAATATTAAGAGAAAATGCTTAATAAAAGTAAATTTAAAGAAGTAAAACTGTTTATTCCTGCTAGGTAACTTAATAACTAATTGAAAGTGATTTAACACATTCTTTTGCTCATTGATATGGATGGAGTCCTCCAGCCCTCTCAGAAATCATGTAGAAGCTTTCAGACTTTAAAAAACCCCCTTGTGAAGTAAAAACGAAAGAAATGAATGGGACATCAAACTGAAGTTTTTACATTTCAAAAGAAATCATCAACAAAAAGGCAACTAACTGAATGGGAGAGGATATTTGCAATCAAAACCTCTGTCAAGAGGCTAATACCTAAAATATATAAAGGGTTCATACAACTCAGCAACAAAAAATCCAAGCATTCCAATTAAAAAATGAGCAGAGGACCTAAACAAACACTTCCAAGAAGACATGCCAGTGGCCAACAGATAAATGAAAAGATGCTCAACTTTACTAGCTTTAAGGGAAATTCAAATCAAAACTACAATGAAATACCACTGCATACCTGTTAGAATGGCTAATATCAACAAGACAAGAAATAGCAAGCATTGGAGAGAGTGTGGAGGAGGAAAAGGAACCTACTCTGCTGGTAGGAAGGTAAACTGATACAGCCACATGGAAAACAGTATGGAGGTTCCTCAAAAAATTAATAGAGCTACCATATGACCCAACAAGCCTTTTTCTGGGTATGTGCCCCAAGAGTTTGAAAACATTTATTCGTAAAGATATGTATGTACCACTATGTTCACTGCAGCATTATTCAAAGTAACCAAGATATCAAAACTACCTAAGTGTCCTTCAATGGATGATTAGGTTTTTTAAAAAACATGTGGTACATATGTACAATGGAACACTACTCAACCACAAGATAGGATGAAATACTGCCATTTGGGACAACATGGATGGACCCTAAGAATGTCATGTTCAGTGAAATAAGTCAGAGAGAAAAGGACAAGAACCATATGATTTCACGCATGTGGGATATAAAACAAAGTAACAAGTGAGAAAATGAAACGAACTCATAGAGACAATTAGTATGGTGATTACCAGAGGTGGAAGAAGAATGAAGAGGATAAAGAGGGTCAAATACGTGGTGACAGAAGGAGTCTAGACTGGGTGATAAGCAAGCACACAATGCAGTATACAGATGATGAATTACAGAATTGTACACTTCAAACTCAGTGTTATTAACCACGGTCACCCAATAAAAATTTTTAAAAGCCCCTGTCTTTCTACTTCATTTTCCTAGGAAAGCCTTTCCTGATCATTTCCTCTTATTAAAACTCACCATTAATGGCCTTCAGTTCTACAATTCTTCTTAAGGAGATGAAAGTTAATTGCCTTCTCTCACCTACTCTGCATCTGTGTTCTCAAAGCAAAGGAAAAGTCATTGCTGGCTCATCACTCCTAGTATCTCCCCTAACTCTATTCAGAATGTAATTCCCAGGACAGTAAAGTCTCTAGCATTAATTATTTGCATTTTCTTTTAAAGAAGAATTATCCTGCCTTCTTTTTTTCTTAATCCTCAATAGAGGACATTTTTTCATTGCTTTTTACAGAGGAAGGGACAGAAAGAAGCATTGCTATGAAAGAGAAGCATCAGTTGGTTGCCTTCCAAATGCTCAGTGGTATGCCTGGACTGGATTGAACCCACAGCCTTTTGGTTGCGGGACAGTGCTCCAACCAATTGAGCCACACTAGCCAGGACTATCCTGCCGTGTTTTGAATGGCTAATTAATTTCCAATAACTTTTCCTATTGAGTAGGTTTTGCTGAGTTTTTTGTTTTGACTATATTAAGCATAATATCAAAACAAAAACATTGTCAGTAGTTTTTCTCACAGGTATTTCTGCATAAAGGACCAGTATCATACCTGCATTGTCTGTTCATTTATACCTGCCGTGTCAAATCAGACATTTACTAGAGAACCACACACTGCATGAAATCACCAAGCTAATCTGCAGCTCTTTTCTTGCTGTTTGATACTTAAAGGTTGTTTTCACGTAGTCAGCAGGATTGACTTTTACTCTAGTTATATGGCTTTTAGGGGAACAAAACTACTCTAGTTATATGGCTTTTAGGGGAACAAAACTGAAACTTCTAGTTGAAACTGGATGTAAACCAGAAATCCTACTTGAATTGAGGGCCTAAAACCAGTTAGCAAGGAAGAAAAGAGTGTACAATATTTTCCCATTTCATGAAACTATTCTGTTGTAAATACTTACAAAAAGGGAATTTGTTCTAAAAAAAAAAAATACAAAATTTCTAACCAGATATTTTAATAGTTTCCCTTTGCTATTCAAGTATCAGAGTGTCTATGTGAGGAAATGGAAAAATCTTATAAATGTGGTTCTGATTTGGTTGGTCAACCCTTAAAAAGAAATACCCAAATTAGAGTACTGTAAAATAGAAATCTGTTTCTATTCTGGCTTTCTGCCCAGATGAGGGACAGGAAGTAATTCTGAAGTTTAAGGATTGCCAAGGTGGCTGCTCTTGGGCTGTGATGGAACTTTCACAGAATTGAATTGCAAATCGAGAACTGTAAAGTTTTAAGAGGGCTTAGACAGTGGTTAAGAGTTAGGCAGCAATTTATGTCCCCTGCTGACACAGTAGTATAGGGTGGATCAATGTTAAGATAGCCTCTTCCAGATTTTTCTCTGTAATGTTCAGTTTCTGTGCAAGGTATCATAGAATGTTATTCCTGCTACCTAGCAATTCTGTCCACTTTCCCCAACCAGAAACCTGGTAACCTTCTAGTAAGCCCCTCCCTTCTCACCTCTTGATTCTAGCTCCTAAATATATTTCAAATGTATTCCTTTTTTCTCTTTTCCTTAGCCTAGTTCAGGTCCCCTATTTCTGTCACCTACAGCCCTAGACTATTTTATTGACTTGCAGTTGGTTTCCTTGCAACTTGCTCTTCTCCCTCCTTCTGAAACATTAATCTGAAATGTTTTAATCTTCCTTATCTTTGGTGGTTCTGTATGGTAATTTCTTATCTTGGCATGTAAAGATACATAGAGTTTGTTTCTTGCTACCACTGTAGTCTCACCTTCTGCCACTCTCCTCCTATTCTCCAGTTCTGGTATAGAGGTAGTTCCCTTAAATGCATCATGCTCTCTCTGGTCTCCCATCTCTGTAACTGTAGTTCCCTCAGCCTGAAATACACATGGTCATCCCCACCACCACTTGATATGCTTTTGTGTCCCATGACTGAGGAGAACTCTTTTACAGCATTTGTCATATTCATCATCATCATTTGATTTACTGTTTCTGCCATGCTATTAGGCATGAAGAATGTTGAATAAATGGTTTTATCAAAAAGAAAGTACCTCTGAAATATCTATTTTGCATGTTAGGCCAGTTTAATTTTTTTTTTTTAATCCTCACCCGAGGAGATGCCTATTGATTTTAGAGAGAGGAGAAGGGAGGGAGAGAGGGAGAGAAACATCGATTTGTTGCCTCTTGCATGAACCCTGACTGGGGACCGAACCCACAAGCTTAAGTATGTATCCTGACAAGGAATCCATCCTGTGACCTTTTGGTTTATGGGACAGCACTCCGACCAACTGAGCCATGTTGACTGGGGCTTGGTCAGTTAAATTTTTTAAAAAGAGAGGTGAGTAGAAAATAGTACTGTTGGTAGAGCTCTCCCCAGCCTTAGCTATCTTTTCTTTTTGCCCTCTCCCACCCCCATGATATGATAGACAGCATTCATTTCCTTTTGACTTCATTCCTACTCAGAATCCTAAGGGCTTCCCTTTGACATGCGCTCACTGACTTCTCTTGACTCACTTTCAGCATGCACATAGCATAGGAATCTCAATAGGAAACACCTTTGATATTTGTACGAGTGCCTAATGTCAAAGAGAAGCATGAATTAAGATCATTTACTTAATGAAAATTCACATTCACTGAATAAAGTCTGATTTAGAAACAGGACCATGATTCATTTACTGCACACGTCATGAATTTGTCATAGGGCTGACAATGTTAGCCTACGTGCTCATTTTTTTAAAATATGAAATGTATATTATCCTGTGTAAATTCTTTTTTTTTTTCCTTGTAGGTTCTGGGTCCCTAAGAGCAAAATTTGATCTTTCAGAAGGACCCAGTAAACCCGCAACACTTGCAGTGCAATTCCTCAGTGAGGGAAGTACCCTCTCAGGAGTGGATGTTGAACTTGTAGGCACTGGTTACAGGCTATCCTTAGTAAAGAAGCGGTTTGCCACTGGTAAGTTGGGAGATTTAGAGCTTTCTCATGTATATGGGAAACATTTATGTTCTAATCTAAAGGCATGGAAGTTTTTTCTTTGACATTGGACTAAGGTGTCAGGTAGACACACCTGGGAAAGAATATCCATGGTCAGTATAGTTGAACACCTGTGATCTGATTCTAATGTATTGTAAACAGCAGATGGGAACTGGGGTTCTATATCTTTAACCACAGTGAAAATGTTCTTTGAGTTCATTTGAAATTAAAATTGTAAAGCTCTGCTTGGTGTTTTTCAGGACGGTATCTGGCAGATTGTTGATGGACCTATCAAAGTGGTTGGCTCAAGGGAGTAGTACAGACCTGCCCTTCTGCATTATCTATTCTTTCCAAACACTATTCCAGCTTGTATTACGTCTTTAAAACTTAGACATATTTGAGAGCTGACTGTAAATATTAAATTGCACCTTTGAAGTGAGTCATCAAAACAAATAGCACTGAAACAATTTTCAGCATTGTAAATGATCAACTGCAATATTCAGGACACACACTGATTCAGATTCTCAGTAAAAAGTTTTCATAGGCTGAAATTTTAAATTATCTTTAGTGTCTATATTGAAAGAGGGGGTTATTATAAGTGTAATATCAAGTCTAAACTTTCAGGAGAGCAAGCACAAACTAATTTAGCTTTCCATAAATTTTTAGAGTCAGAGATAGTTTTGAAATTTTGTAAGTTAGATGTTGAATGGATTCTAAGTTTTGGATAATGTTAATTTAGAACACTCAATCAAATTGAGTTATGTGCCATAAAGTAATCAGACCAGAGTCCAAGGTGTATGCAAAAAATTTATCATTTGATTTTTATAAACATATAACTGTAAATGGTGTTTTATATGATTTTTTTAATCCTCAAGTGCAATGTGTTTTAAAATAAGCTTGCAAAAGACAGAAATTTACTTCTGCAGTTAACTTTATAGAAGTTTTGATTGTTTTGATGAATTAATGCTGTAGATTTAATTTATTTTTATATGGATTGCATAATGTGTGCCTTTTAAAACAGTAACAAAAACCAGAAATGTGCCTATCCAGTTTGTGTTCATGGATGTGCCTCACAGCCTGGATCTTCTATCCAGAATCTTATGGTGGTCAAGCATTTTTACAAGATAATTGCAATTTTTGTAAATAACTTTGGCTGGAATTGGGAAGGGAATTTGGAATAACTAAAGGATAATTTATACTTAAAAACCCTGGCTCACTTCTTCAGTGAAACACTGTAGCCACTAGAAAGAGGAAGAGCTACCTAATGGTTTCTGTTTACAGGGGGAAAAATTACCTTCAGAAACTCGATCTTAACCTTATCAAAAGTATGTAAATCTTAAATTCTGAAAAACTATAATGGTAAATTGGTAACTAGTATTTTAACTCTCAATTTAACATTTTCCTCCATTCTGTTTACCATCGGAAATTTATACCTTTATTTATTGAATGTGTTGTGAGCATGAATTTTGCGGTATTTTGTGAGGAACATATTTTAGAAAAGATTAGTTCTGGCATTAGAGAAGTCTGCCATTTGTTTGCATTTCAACGATTGGAAAAATTGCCAATTTGTATGTTTTTAAAGTGATGGATTGCTTAAACATTTCTTAAGTAAACTAATATTAAATGGTAAAGAGCCTAACTTTATAGCAAATCCTGATTAATTGAAGGAATTAAATATTTTGGACAAGGTTTCATAATTTACAAGTGGAAATTCTATTTATAAGGATAAATACCAGTTGTCCTGCATTTTGCATAGAAGTGATAAATTGTTATATAATTTATATAAAACCACTAATTGTTCTGTTAAGCTTTACAGAAAGTAAAACTCTTACTACTAGACATTTATGTAACATGTTGCTATACTAAATACAGAAAATCTACTCATTAGCAATATATGTATATAACACAGTATGTGCTTTTCTAATATATTCAGTGTTAGCCCAATTCTAAATTTAGATTTGACTAAAGTAATACATAAGACAGTTTGCTAAAAGTTAATCTTTACTAAATAGTGAGCAAAATTAGAAATTCCAACTCCTGTATTACGTTCTTTTAAATGCCAGTTACAGGCCCTTGCTGGAATCTTAACTGTAACAGCATAGCACTCAAACTGTTTTTATTGATCAGTTAATATTTTATTATTGGAATTTAGAGACCATTATACTTACAATGTTTGTTTTTAATCAAATATTACCTAAAAATGTACAAATTAGTGAAATGGTTAAACTTCTGCACTTTCTTAATTACCATAGTCTTCATACCAAGTGTCAGTACATAAATTTGTATTGGGTGCAGGTTACAATTTTGAAGCCATATGAGTTTATATTGAGGTTTTGGGTATTTTTCCCATTTAAAACCCCATTAATACTGTTAAAAAAAAAAGAAAAGAAAAGACCAGTAGATTTTCAAGGGGAAATGTATTTAGCAAGCTGGTTCTTGCTTATGTATGATGATTAAACTTTGTAGCTGTCTCTTTAACCAAGAATTTGTAAACACAGAACTCTAACAAATGTGAGTTTTTAAGAATTGTTATTTACTACTTTGAGTTGTAATTACAACAGTGCAAATCTATCTTACAAAATTTTGTAAATATTTGATTTTTTCATAAAATGTAAATTTTACATAAAAGTTGTACCATTAATAAACATGTAATATATAATTTATCAGTTAGTTTATGTGACTTTGTACTCCTGTTGACTGTTGACTTCATTACATTAGCCCTAAGCCTATTCCTGTTTAATTTCCACAAGTAACCCCTAATACAACCAAGATACCAGTAAGCAATGATGAACCAGTTCCTACCACCAGTAAAATTCCATGGCATTGTAATGCAGCTACCCCATAGCCTCCTCATTAAAAGTGCCAGAATCTCCAGTGTCATCAATTACTCAGTCTCCTAATCCATTACATTTAAATACAGTCTTCACCTCATCATTCTTCAAAGCATATAAAACTACCGTAGCATCCACCAACAACCCCAAATGAAATAGTCCAAAGACAGTTATATTAGAAACTCAAAATTCAGGATATTCCTCAGTAGGCATAGCTGTTGTGTAACCAAAACCTAGCAACATTACCTCCCAGGTAAATGTAAAAACTAATAAACCTAAAAAAGACCTGCCAAAATTTATTACATACCATAACCAGTTCTACTTACAACCAACCCTAAACCACTATAAATAAATGACAGTCTTGAAGAAAAACCTACAAAATTTAATTATATAGTTAAAATACAATATGTCATTCTCATATGGAATTTCAGCATAACTAGTGATGACATGAGAAATAATTATATTTATATTAATGACCAATATGTGTAAATCCCACCCACTAATTAAAACTATTAGTAACTCATTCATTGATTTACCAGCCCCATTAAATATTTCATCATGATGAAATTTTGGCTCCCTTTTAGGAATCTGCTTGATTTTACGAATATGCTTATATACCAGATATAATAACCACCTTCTCCTTCATTACCCACATCTGCTGAAACATGAACTACAAATGAATTATTCGGTCCTACACACCAACAGAGCATCTATAGTCTTTATCTGCTTACTCATTCAAGTAGAATGGGGCCTATATTACGGATCTTATACCTCCCTAAAAACCTGAAATATTGGCATCATCTTATTCACAGTAATAGCTTATAGCATTTATAGGCTACATTCTAGCATGAGGTCGTCTTAGGAGCCACAGTTATCACAAATCTCTCAGCCGTTCTCTGCATGGGCACTAGTCAGATGAACCTGAGGAGGATTCTCAATTGATAAAGCTACTCTCACCTGATTCTTCACCTTCTACTTCATTCTCCCATTTGTTAATATCAGGCTTAATAATTATTCACCTACTATTTCTTTATGAAACAGGATCAAATAATTCATTCGGAATTTCATCTGACCTAGACAAAATTCCATTTCAGCACTACTATACAATCAAGGTTATTCTAGGGCTTTTAATTCCATTCTTAGCCATACTAATCCTATTCTCATTCATTCTTTCAGGAGATCCAGATGGTTGCACAAAGCTAATCCTTTTAATACTCCACCACACATTAGACCAGAGGGATACTTCCTGTTTGCATATGCAGTCTTATGATCCATCTCTAATAAATTAGGTAGCACATTAGCTCTAATCTCTAATTCTAGCAATTATCACAAAAACTCTTTCATCCAAGCCACAAAGCATATAACATTCTGACCCCTCATCCAGAGCTTATTCTGACTACTTGTGGCAGACCTACTGGCATTGACATGAATTGGAAGACAACCAGTTGACAACCCATTTATCATCATTGGCCAACTACCATCAGTCTTATATTTTCTAATTCTTGTACTGATGCCACTCACGAGCTTCACTGAAAGGCCCTGGCCAGGTAGGCTCAGTTGGTTAAGAGTGTCATCCTGTTACACCAAGGTAGCAACAGGTTCGATCTCCAGTCAAGGTACAGACAAGAAGCACCCAGTGAATGCATAAATAAGTGGAACAACAAATTGATGTTTCTCTCTCTCTCTCTCTCTCTCATAAATAAATAAATAAATAATCTAAAGTGAAGAATCTTTATAGTGTAAGTATTACCCTGGTCTTGTAAACCAGAAAAAGTAAAAAAACAACAACAAAAAAAACACCTCCCTAGGCCATCAAGGAAGAAACTCCAGTGCCACTGTCGGCAACCAAAGCTGAAATTCTATTTAAACTATTCCCTGAAAGCTGCACAAGAACAGTGAAACATTGCCACATTCTGTGTCAATATTAAAAACAAATTCTAGACTATCCCATTGCTATGTACTTCATGCATTAAATTACCCCATTGCAATGAATTAGTACTTATATGCTTGATCTACATGACACAGACTGTGTAATCATATATTAACTATTTACTCCATGCATATAAGCAAGCATATCAAACAACGAATATTATATAATAGAATGGTTCATCATATATAAAATTCTCTTCCATGTGGCTATTTGTAAACCAATAGATATAATTGATATTATATAGGACTACTGTGGCTTAAGCACTTAAAATTCTACAGGTCAATATTTTAAACTTATTAGGGTAAGATTGGTTAATAAGATTGTGTAAGTTTCAAGTGTGCAATATAATGCATCACCTGTGTATGTTGTGCACTCATCACCCAAAATATAGTCTCTCTTCATCATATGTTTGACCCCCTTACATAGAACATAATACTGTTACTGATTGTACATACCCTATTAAGTCATATTAGCTCTCAGTCACCATGCTTCAGGACACCAGCTACGCACTACAAATGTGCCCTTCTCCTCACTCCAGGATCATACCATGGGGTTTTCTAGAACTGAACTATATCTGGTGCCTGGTTCTTCAGGACCATCTTCACCTAAAGTCACCCACTCTATCCTCTTAAATAAGACATTTTGTCGGACTAATCAGCCCATGCTCACACATGGTTGAGTTAACATACATTTGGTATTTTGTAATTTGGGGGAGGTGCTGTGACTCATCTATAGCCATCTGAGACCTTAATACAGTCAAGAAACTTGGAGTTGGACTTATATTGAGCATTATTTACCTTGACTAACATTAACCAAAAGCTGTTATTTAGTCAGTGCTTACAGGACATAAGAGAATTTTACATGCATAGTACTCCCTCCTTACCTGTGGGGGATATGGTCCAAGACCCCCCCAGTGAACACCTGAAATTGCAGATAGTACTGAACCCTATATGTACTATGTTTTTCCTACATGTACAAATCTATGGTAAAGTTTATAAACTAGGCACTGTAAGAGATTAACAACAATAACAAAGCAATTAGAACAATATACTGTAAAAAAGTTATGACGACTTTGGTGCCCTTATTAAATAAAATACTGAACAAGGCAGTGTGACGCTACGAGTTGATCTGACGATCGAGATAGCTCCTGTGTGACTGACAGCTGAGCAGTTCATACAGCAAGGATGTGCTGAGCAAAGAGGCGGGTCATCCTGGATGGGACAGAGCAGGACAGTGAGATTTTTTTCATGCTACTCAGAATGGCATGCAACCTAAACCATATAAATTGTTTATTTCTGGAATTTTCCATTTAATATTTTCAGACTGCAGTTGACCACAGGTAACAAACCATGGAAACCAAAATTATGGATAAGGGGGACTACTGTATATGTACATAGGTTCACCAAATAAAAATTAGCAAACCTTCCTTACCCCTGTAGACCTTAAACTGTATATATTTATTAACAGTCTTTGTAAATGCCCAAAACAAGATTAAAATATAACAGTACATAAAAGCTTACCCCATTCTACAATAAGTAAGTTACAAATTAAACCAAGACATATTTTAGCCAAGATCTGTAATTGAATAAAAATTTCTAACACTAAAATTGTCACTTCTAAATCTATGGTCCAGAAAAACTTACTCCCCAGTAGTTGAAAATGCTTCTGCAGATATTCACATGTAACTTAAATTCACAACATTTTGATGGAGAGGGAGCCCCTTGATCTATTAATGTAGCTTCATAAATAAAGCAAGACACTGAAATGCCTAAATGAGTTTACTAATTCCACAACACACAGGTTTGGTCCAGTCATGTTGTAAAGTCTTAATTACACATGGAAGTATCTTCATCCCAGTGAGAAGGACCTCCAGATCACCAAGGATTAAAAGGAGCAGGCATTAAGCATATCAAGCAGCTCATATCAAGAAGTAATTTTGCTTAACCATGCCCCCACCAGAAAGAGCAGTGATAAAAATTAAGCCATGAACTGAAGTTTGACTAAGTTAATAGGGTTTGTATATTTTGTACCAGCCACCACAGTCATCTGCTTAACCAATTAAGATTTTTGGCATAAAGTGTGTTAAAGATTTTCATAGTAAAGTTAAGTTTTAATTAGGCTGTAAAAAGTTACAGCTAAAAAAAAAATTATGTAAGTGACTTTGTTATTCCCACTTGATAGCTAAGACTCAGAGTGGGGTTAGATACCCCACTATGCTTTAGTCCTAAACCCAAATAATCATTATAACAAAATTACGTACCAGAGTTCTACTAGCAAATGCCTGAAACTATGAACCTGATGGTGCTTTATATCACTATAGAAACCCCACTAAACCTCACCAATCCTGGCTAATACAGACTATCTACCATTCTCTTTGGCAAAGCCTAACAAGTTACCCAAGGGATAACTGGGCATTCCTAGTCTAGGGTTTATATCAGTAATAGGTTTATGGCCTCCATGTTGGATCAGAACATCCCAGTGGTAACTGCTATTAATGGTTGGTTTGTTCAACGATTAAAGTCCTTCGAGATCTGAGTTCAGACCACAGTAATCTATGTCTGTTTCTATTCTTCCTTCTCCTAGTATGAAAAGAACAAGAGAAATAATACTACTTTACAAAACCACCTTCAAATTAATAGATGATATAATCTTAATCTAATTAATTTATACCAATCCTGCCCTTTGGTATAGGGTTTGTAGGGTACCAGAGTTTCATAAAAGCATAAAATTTAAACCCTTATAATCATAGGTTCAACTCCTCTCCTTAACAATGTTTATAGTTAATCCTCTTTTATTAATTATTCCCATTTACTCATCGTAGCATTCTTCACACTAACCAAATGAAAAGCACTAGGCTACGTTCAACTCCATAAAGGACCAAAGCCTGCTCCTACCCATCGCC